TGGATCGAGAACAGGTACAAACAGAAAAGCAGGAGAGAAAGAATTCCTCCATTGTTTTTATACTGCTTACAGGTGGTGATCGCTCGTGATCGAGGAGGCGCCACATCATCATCAGGAATGTGGCTCGAGACTCAGGAATCGGGAAGTGTCTCGAGAGTCAGGAATAGGGAAGTGTCTCGAGAGTCAGGAATGTGGTTTGCAGGTTAGGAATCCGGCGAGAGTCAAGAATGTGGCAAGAATTGGGGGATTCCTGACAGTGATCTTGCTAAAGGAAGCGACCGATGGATGGATCAATCAATCAATCACAAAGGTATTTATACTCTCACTCTGCTGGTTTTCCTGGATGAATCATCACTTTGGCTTGTCCACACCACTCACTTTGTTATTAAGCTGACTTCAACCGCCACTCACTCACTCTCTCATTTTTACAAATCCCTCAGGAAGGAAGACGAAGATGGTAGTAGCATTTTATCCGTTGAAAGCAACAGTGACCAAATCAACGCTAGTGGCGAGTGTCAATTCGAGATCAACAGACAAAAAGAAATTCGCAGATTGAGAACAGGTACAAACAGAAGAAAGAATTCCTCCATTGATCGGCGAGAGCTTGATGTAAACCAGAACAGGTAATAGTGTTTTTTTTGTTCGTTTGTTGCTGCTGGTTTACTGTTTACATTCCAGCGCAAACACCTAGCCTCGATACTGATAATCGCCAGAGGGAGCTCGACGTAAACCATCGCCTAGAGAGTGTGTCGCCATTGTTGTGATCACCGTTCTTCTGAGCTGCCGGTTTACTGTGGCGCAAGTCTCATGCAGCAAGATCTTAAAAGAGGATCAACACCAAAACGTTTACTTTTTGTCACTCTTAAGTAAATAAAGTACAAAAGTATTGTCACTCTAAGCTCTCTATAAACTTTTCCACTGTGTCTCTCAATGCTATGCCATCTTTAGCTGAATGAAGAGACCTTTGTGGAAGGTAGCCTGCATCATGGTTAAATTTGTCGGGGTCAAAATCTTCCATGAACCTATCATTCTATGTGATCATTAAGTTATGTAGCACACAACAAACCATGATGTTATTTGCAAGGATGCTTGGATGACCTCTAAATCCTTTCCGAGCTAGCAATTTCCATTGCCTCTTTAAAATTCCAAAAGATCACTTGACAACAATCCTCGTAGAAGAATGAAGGAAGTTGTACTGCTCTTTGCCATGAAACCTGTTTGGATATGGGACCAACACCGGTAAAGCACAGTCATATCCTCCATTTGCAATGATATATTGTGGAATGTCCCCAAACTCTGTGTGGTACACTGGACCACATAAATGCTTCTTCTCAATCCAAGCCTTCTTCAAACCACTAGAATTCCAAACTCATCTATCTGGAACACTACCTGCTATCCCTGTTGTTATGTCAAGGAATGAAGTCTTACTGTCTACCACATCTTGAACTACCATCGAGTAATACTTTTTTGCCCTAGCATACCAATCCATTGCATCCTCTGATCCTAGGAGCTCAATTGCAATGTGAGTGCAATCCATTGCACCACAACAATTTGGGAATCCACACAATCTCTAACATCCAGTTATAACTTCTTTCATTCCCTCCTCATCTGGCCAATGGATCATTAGTCCTTCATGCTCAAGCAATGCATACCTGAAACGGTGTAGACAAGCTTGGGTAGTGCATGAAGCCACTCCAAATGCATCATCAATTGTTTGCCATATATCCCCAGATGCCAAATGTTTCAAAGCAATAGCTACTTGCTTTGAAACAGGCAAGTGCCGCCCTGGTATTTCTGCCAAACTTGGAGGAGGCCTCTTAACTAATTTTGGAGCAAGCTCATCACAAAGAAAAGTGAATGTAGATACCAAAACCCAAAAAACTTCTCTAAATCTTTGTGGATCTATATGAAGAACCTCAAGCTCTATTTGATACCACCAATGTAGACTTCTCGGCTTGATGTAATATGCGCTGATCGATAGCCCTAGAAGCTCCTTTTTAGTGATCACTCTCTCAACAAATGAAGATGTAGCGGGACATGGCATAGAAAGAACTATAGCAATCGCTTCCTCCACGAATAAGAGTTTTCTTGAAATTGGAACTAAAATCATGTCCTCCTCCTCCAGAAAGAACAACTCTACCAAATTTAAGTACCTCATCACAATCCCTACAGCATGGGAAATGATCGCCAAAGAAGAATCGGTGAGCCGTGGCATGCTGTGCACCATACTTGCATTTGAACAGGTATGATTAATAAAAAATGCCATTTAAAATGCGCGTATAATATGGTGTTTAAACACCAAGAATATTTTTAAAAAACCCGAAAGAATATACTTTCTTTTACTTAGGATTAGGGTTCATGTAAAATCAGGGTTCGCGGGATCCGGAAGCACTGAGGTAAGTCCGGGATGGGGGGAGGAAGGCAGCCATGCTGGAGCTGGGCTCATGTTCTGAAATTGAGGCTGACATCCGAGACAAGCCATGGCATGAGTCCATGGAAGTGTAAGTATTGCTCGAATACTTACACCGGCGCGGCTGAACGAGTTCGCGCTCACCTTGGGGGTGTGAAAGGAAGGAATGTAGAGATTTGTACAGAACAGGTGCCACTGGAGGTGGTGAACAAGGCTCGGGCATCTTTTAATCATGTGGAGCTCACGAAGAGCTCCATGATTGCAGCAAGTCCCCAAGAGAGACTTGCCTTAGCTCACGAGACTAAGGTCGGTGAGGTGAGCGGTGGTGCCAGCTGCGGGGCAAGTGGTGGGGCTACTGGAGTGCTGGGCGAGGTGAGCAGCGGCAGCGTTCCACTTTCCGGGAGCAGCAGTTTTAAACGAAGTGCTACACCGGTGCTAGATGGTGACATTCGAAAGATGATGAAGTCTGCAAAGGTTCAATGTCTGGATGATGTAGTGGCCAAGTTCTTCTACATTGAAAATATCCCTTTCAACACCATTCAGAGGCCAAATCTGAGGAAGTTGCTTCAAGCTGCTATTGACTTCGGCCCTAGAGCTCTTGCACAGATGATGGGATATGAGAAGCTGCAGAGTACACAGCTGAAGAAGATTTATGATAGTGTCAATGCTCGACTTGATCCAATCCATGAGGGTTGGAGAAGATATGGAGTTAGCATCGTCACCGATGGCTGGTCTGACAACTGTAGCTGATCCTTGATCAACTTCATGGCCTCCAACGTCCAGGGTTCAGTTTTCTTGAAGTCTGTAGATTCCAAGGGCAGGACAAAGACAGGAGAGTGGATTTGGGTCGAGCTGAAGAAAGTGATTCAAGAAGTTGGCAAAGAAAACATTGTTCAGGTGATCACTGACAATGCATCAAACTGTGTGCAGATGGGAGAACTCATGACAGCTGAGTATCCTCACATTCTCCACAGCATGTGTGTGTGCCACGTCTTGGACCTTCTCTTCGACATCGGGAGCTTGTCATGGGTAAAACCACTGGTGAAAGGCTGCAACGAGGTGGTAACTTTTATCACCAAAAAACTTCATGTTCTGGCTTTGTTTTGGAAGCTGAGAAATCGGGATCTCATCAAGATGGCGAGCACAAGGTTCGCTTACATGTTTCTAGTGATGTCTCAGCTCCTGAATCTGACGACCTTGGAGGCATTGAAGGAGATAGTTGTGAGCTCTGAGTGGCAGCGATTGGACGTCACAAAGACCACCAAAGCCTAGCGCATTCGAACTCGGATCTCAGAAGAGACTCCGAACTCTTTCTGGACTAGATGCCAGCACTTGTTGGTGCTGCTTGGACTGCTCCTCAAGGTCTTGAAGCTTGCAGACCGGGAGGGGACAACTTCCGGTCTCATTTTCGAGGCTATGGACCGGATGAATGAGAAGCTTTCAAAGGCTGTTAAGATTGGGATTTTAGCCGAGGAAGAAGTCGAGGAGATCAACAAGTTCATGATGGAGGATCATGGTGAGGGAGGTTGGAAAGTAGCTCGTTGGTTCTAGATGCATTCGATCTTGCATGGAGCTGCTTTTGTTCTAAACCCAGCTTTTCTTCATCTCCCTCTCAACCAGGAGGCTCAAGAAGATTTTGTGGAGTACCTAGAGTTGTATTGCAAAGGAGATCGAGGACTTCAACACAAGCTGCTGCACGAGTTTCAGAGTTTCTGTCAACAACTTGGCCGTTTGTTCTCTTCGGAGGCAGCAAAGCAAGTGCATATAAACTGTTTGTTTGTCAACTTTTTAGACTGATTCTCTTGTATAGATGGAGAACCAAAAACACCTGGTGAGTTGGTGGAGCAACTTTGGTGCAGGCACACTAGAACTTCAAAGGCTTGCTTTACAGATCTTGAGTCAGCCAGTTTGTGCTTCACCATGCGATCGAAACTAGAGCTCTTGGAGCATGATCCAGACGAAGAGGAAGTCTCGACTGCTCTCCAAAAACTCAAAGAAGCTGGTTTTTGTGCACACAAATATGTGTGTCATACAGAAGATCGAGTCTGGGAGTTTGAGGCTTATCGAGCATGATCTTGATAACCTTGAGCTTGAGCCTCAATGGCAAAGGATCCTTGCACTTCAGGAGGTTGTTGAAGAACCTCTTCAACAACCTGATGATGACAGCACTAGTGGTGATGATGTTCTAGATTTGGAGGATGAAGATTAAATTAAACCTATATTATATTATGTTAAATTTTGTTTAGTAACAGTTAATTATTTTTTAATTATATTAAAACTGAAAACCATTTTACCCGTTCGAAAAAAAGCTAAACAGGTATTAAACGTTTGATACCCGTTCAAATCCGGTTGCATTCGAATGTTCAGATGCAAATATGCTGTGCGCTCAATTTAGGGCAAACAAAATTGGCACCCTAATCCTGGGTTACATATAACCATTAAAAAAAGGGGGAAGGGAATTTTTTTTGGAAGGGGGGGAGAAATTTCCAGGTGTGGAACCCCACCCTTAGTTTGTAGACACGCCTCAGTGGGAGTGTTGAGATTAAATGCTTAGGTAGATGCTTAGCTAAGCAGTTAAGATGATGTGGCATTAGACAGCCCATGTATATATAACTTCATATATACAATATGAGCAGTCATTGCCAGCAGTCGCTGCCTTTTTTATCACTGGCCTAGAGGTGAGCCGCAGAGTCGCGGTGGTGTCGCTCTTTAGCAGCGACCGAATGCCGCTGCTCGTGAAGGAGAGGATTGCGTGCTCCACATTTCTGGGGTCGGGGAAGGGCGGAGGCTCAATCTGGTACTCCGCTGGAGTGGATTCCGGTGGAATTGCGTCAGGAGCAGGGATCGATCCCAGTGCGGCCGATTGACACGATGCTCCTGGCCTGAGGAAATCAGCGCCCAGGTTTTCACGAAATCAGCCGTGGCAACTCCATCGGCTGCGCTGTGGTGGGTCGCTACCTGGGCCGCACAGGAACCGAGTGAGCTTGATCGAGACAAGAGGAACTTCCGTGGTTTCTTGCGTTGGGAAGGCCTCGCGCGAAGCTAGGCTGTCGAGGCTGGGATTAAACTCGTGGAAGCTGCCGAGTTCTTCTTCTAGAGATTTGCTGGCGAGCGCTTCGAAGAACTCGATGCCGGAGTCGCAACACTGGATCTCGAGGGCCTGATTGGGAAGAAGCTTGTAGCGGCCGGCTAGCGGATAGAAGAGGGAGAGCGTCTTGGAGAGGGATAGCTTGAGCTGGTCGGAAGGGACGAATCGTGCGAAGAAGTAGAGGAAAGGCGTGTAGACCCGAGGAGCAATCTGGTCGAGGCAGCTGAGAAGTATGGACGGTCGTGGTAGTGGAGAGGAGTTCGCAGGCTTGATGAGCTCTCGGACATTGGAAGCTACTTCCATTGGGATCTGCCTTGGATGGTGGTGGAAAAAAGATTTCAATGGAACTAAGGATGGAAGACGATCATCAGCTCTTTCTTATGCTTCCAGGAACTCGATTGGGACTTGGATTCTAGCTAGCGGAGCATTTCCAGTTGCTGTGGACGATGATGTCAATGCGTGGATCAGATTGTGTGCAAAGTTGAATTCCACATAAAACTGAAGTAACAAGTTGTGGAGAATTTGTTCATGTACTTAAGCATTGATTTGAGTGAAACGGCATTGCTACTATAACATTAGATAACTGGTGAATCCAATCCAGCAAAATCCGACGTGAATCTTTGCTCGCTTAGCTCCCCAAAAAGTGAAAACAATATCGATTAATGCAGCGACTGTTGGCAACGACTGCTCATATTGCTATATATACATGGGCTGTGGCAACTGCCTAATGCCACATCATCCTAACTCCCTAGCTAAGAATCTACCTGAGCATCTAATCTCAACAATAGCTCCCCAAAAAGTGAAAACAATATCGATTAATTCATTCATTGCTAACTCCATCCATGGAAGCATTTCAATGGAGGAAAGTCAAGAGTATGGCGAACAGATCGGACAAGATCAGCATCACATCGTAAAGCTAGTAAACGTTTGGACTTTTCTCTTGTAAGGATAGGCAGACATGTGGAAACCTTCTACCTTTAACACTGATGTCGAGGACGAATTCTCAACTCCTGCCAGAACTCCAGTTCCGGAAAGCAATCTTCGATAGAGTTCTAATTCTTTCTTTTTTTGTTATTGTTTTTATCGACTAAGCAGATGATCCAGAGCCTGGTCCTTCAAAAGAAGTGGAACTCGAGAGAGCTACTCATGAATTCATTGGAAAACATCAGTGTACATGTCCTCGTTCTTCTGGATCATACTTTAATTTCTCTTTTTGCTCGGTGACTCCAGGACTAATTTTGTTCCAAATCCTCTCCTAGAATTAATTGTTCCTTCTTTCTTGACACCTCTCCTCTTATAAACTCGTCTTAAGCAACAAACTTTTCGAAGGCAGGTCTGGGACACCATGGAACAACATGTAGCGCCTGCTGTTGAAGGCACGTGGAGTCATATATTATATTAAACGTTTAAGCAGTGCCTCCCATCTCTTACTGAAGAAAACTGCGTAACTCCATAGTATGCATGAAACACCACCACCAACAATGGCAGCCAGAATCGTTTCATCACCATGTCCATCATCACTGTCTTCATCTGTGTGATCACCATGCAAAGGATTATACAAACCAGCACACTCTGCAAGGGGGAAGCCACAAAGGCCTGGGTTTCCTTCATAGCTGCTCACCGGGAATAATGCAAGCTGAGCACTCTGTGGAACCCTTCCAAGAAGCTTGTTGTTCGAGATGTTTAAGTATTTCAGGAAGGTGAGGTTGCCAAGCGAGTCCGGGATGTGTGATTCAAGCCAGTTCTGTGATAAATCTAGCCACTCCAGGTTCTTGAGGTTTCCAATTGTGGAAGGAATGGCCCCTGTAAGTAAGTTGTGTGCGAGATTTAGCACATTTAAGTCTCGCATGCCACCGAATTCCTCTGGGATTGTTCCAGTGAAGCTGTTGTGCGAGAGATCAATAGCCAAAGGACTGTTTACCAGATTATATATTGTTAAGTTGAAACCAGGAGGTGCCAGAAAGAACCATCTTCTGCATCTGGTTGCAAACGGAAGTTGCTCAAAGTCATCCAAGCGGATCCCTTGCAGTATGAAAACCTCCTCATAAGCTTTGCAGATGGATGCCTCTATGTTGATTGCAAACACCATCAGAAACGGGAAGGTTATTTCGGTTATTTCATCCTCTTCCACTACTGATGAGCGGCCGATCCAGCTTGGAATTTGTCCTGTCAACTGATTGTCGTTCACTAAAAGCAGGACTAGAACGTTGCTGTTCCTCAGCTCGCTTGGTAGGCCACCCTGAAGCTTGTTGTGACTCAGTAAAAGAGATCGAAGGCTCAGCATACTTCCAATAGATGCCGGGATTGCTCCAGATATCATGTTGTTGCTCAGAAACAGCAAGCAGAGTTTCTTCAGCCTAGATATTTGCTGAGGAATGACGCCTGTGATATTGTTAAAACTGAGATTTAGTGTCACCAGCTCACTACAGTTGCTGATTGTAGCGGGTATGCTGCCTTCAAGATTGTTCCCCCAAAGAAGAAGATGTTGAAGCTTCGGGAGTCTGCTGCACATATCCACTGGAATAGGCCCTGCTAGAGAATTGATGCTCATATCAAGCATTTCCAGATTACCACAGTTCATGGCTGAGTTCAGAACCCGACCATGCAACCTGTTATATACCAGCAGCAAAGACTTAAGTGAGGACCTTGCAGGGCAGATGCTTGGGTTGCCAGTGTTGAACAAGTTGCAGCTCAGGTCTAGAACCTTAAGACTTGGAGGAACTGTAGGGAGTTCACCTATAAAGTTGTTGTGGTCGGCTTGGAGAACTTGAAGAGACTTAAAAACCGTAGCTAAACTTCGATTGGCAAATACCGAGAGGAATGGTCCAGATAAGTGATTGTCTGATAGATTGAGCATCTTCAAAGCAGCACAATCCTTCCGAAAAACTGTCCCAGAAATGTTGTTAAACGAGAGATCCAGCTCCTCCAGACTAGGACAGTGGTCTATCTGAAATGTTGTGAAGAAGTTGGTAGACAGGTTGAGCTTCTGAAGACTGTTGGATGAACGTAGACCAGAAAGTTCCCCTGTCAAATTATTCGACGACAATGAAAGCTCTTGTAAGCTTCTGCAGTTTATAAACATATCTTCAGGCACCCCTCCAACCAGCTGATTGCTCGATATGTCTAGAAACCGCAAGCTCTTGCACAATGCGAAAAAGGAAGCAGGTATCGAGCCACTGATTCTGTTGTGAGATAAATCAACCGAAACCATAACATGCCCGATTGATCCCTTCAGCGAAATTTCTCTTAGCTTGTTGTGTGAGAGGTTCAAGTGCCTGATGCCTTTGCAAGTAACCAAAAGAATATCTAGAAAATGACTAGTGAAATCGTTGCTTGACAAATTGAGGAACTCCAAAGAGCATTTCTGCGGTGATATGTTGATCTCAGTGAAGTTGTTCCCCGAAGCAGACAAATTGCGTAGTTGAGGCAGGGCTTGGATTGTTGAAAGTGGAAAAAGGCCCGAAAGTGACAGAGAATCAATCTGTATGCCAGTGATCCGCCCTACTGAGGAACAACTTACACCAATCCAGTGGCAAACGTTTGTGCCCGCCTTCCAGTTATTCAGTGCCCCAAGAGGATCATCCACAGAAAGTTTAAAGCTTAAGAGTGCTTCAACCTCTGAATCTTCAGCACTTGCATGAAAAACAATTGTGACAGCAAGCAGGACAAGAGCAAGCAGCCTACATGGATCCATTAGAATGCCTAGCAATATGCTTACAGTATATGTAAAAGTCCACCAATCTCAATTGGCCACATGACTTTGACGGGGTTCGAACACGGAATCAGAAGAGAAGTCCAACCCAAATTCTACTAATAAATATTTGAACTTCATGGAGAGTTTGACTTTGCCTTGGTTGTCCCAGACTTGAAAAAAATGTTAATACTCTCTCTAAAAAACAAAGACAGAGAAGAAAGAAACAAAGAGTCCCAATGAAATCATCATTGCCAATGACGTGATCCTTCAAATAGCTTCAAAAACATGGTCTCGTCCTCCAGAGGAACTTCACTCTCACCCTCGAGGCTAAACACGAATTTTTCGTTCCACTTCGGACTGGAACCCTACCCTGGAAGATGGAAGACAAAGTTTTGGTCTAGATAAGAGAAAAAAACTATGAGAGCTCGTGAGGATCGCATAAGGGTCTGATTTCCCTAGAAGAAGAAGAAGCATCAGAGAATGACAGCAAACTCCTACCCAAAATGTCACTGTTCTTGATGTCGGAGCGTCGATGAGACAAACCTTCTATTCGTTCTTACTTGAAATCAAGAGATTTTCACAAAAAGTTCTTCCCATTTGTACCACCCACGTCATTTTCATGATATATTTATTTTAATGGAGGCATGCTTCTCTCACTTTTACCTTTTATACTTCATACTTCACGTGGTTTACAATTAGGCTGTCTTTTCGGAGGTTGACACAATTTCTGATCACATGTTTGCAGTGAAGAAAAAGACACTTCTACTTAAACAAAATATAAGAGATTATCTTACATTTGCGCGTTTCTCATGATGAATCTAGGTTAGCATTAAACAAGCTATATATGTTAATAGGCATCCACTGCGTTTCTCATACTCTTACATTTTAAACTATTAAATCGTGTAGATGTAGGTTGCTGTCTGAGCTGGGATTGACACACACCATATCGAGGTTAATAAGTATGAATAAGAGCCCATTTCCATATGCATTGTAATGTAAGCATGTACACCACTTCATTTTTAAAATTTAGATTAGAGTTAAATGTTGTAGAGCACATGGTTTACAATTAGGATTCATATATGGAAAAAGGAAAACACAATTACTCTTTCAACATGTGAAGCTGAATACAATGCAAATATCACAAAAGAAGCAATTTGATTGAGAAGACTTCTAGCAAATATTGGACTTCCATGTTTAAAACCCAATTGTCTACAATAACAATACGTCAACTTTAGCATGATTGAAAATCTGATCTTTCATGCTAGAACAAAACACATTGAGATGGATCACTTCTTTATTTGAGATCATAGAGTAGAAGGAGAAATAAAAAAATACTTCACCTGGTTTCGAGCCAGTTTAGGCTATACTTCTTTAAGGTAATTGGTAGAAAACTAAAGAGTATTGTATTTGAATTCCTCTTCTCAACTGAAGTGAACCGTGCTAACACAGTAAGCACTATAGCAGGAACAAGCAGGTCTTCTGTTAGGGACGCAGAAACAATAAAGGCTCACATTTTCATCGTATTCGTCACGTAAAGGATTTGCTCGAAGGGTAGGTTTATAAGAGATTCCGATGTTGCTAACCGGTAAGGAGAAATGAGATTTACGCACCTTGCATTATTGACTTTAAAACCTAAAAACAAACAGCGAGATACATATCAACCTACTCAACGAAGGCTTTGAATGCCTCCAAGCACTGAGCAATGTGATGGCGGTGCTGCCTGGAAAGCATTGTATCGGATTTGTTGGCAGGGAGATTGGGAATGACATACTTCTTGACCCGGGTGACTAGAGTGGGCTCATCTCCATTTCTCACACAGTCGGCCAGAGCTTTCGTCATTGGGATGACGTAAAAGGTAGGACAAGTACCTGAAGAACAATGTGGCTATAGCTCGATCAAACGAAATACCAAGTACTTACCTAGCATGACAATACCTGGAATCGTCTGCTGGTCCGGAAAATCTTCCCTTCCCAGCCTTTCGTACAAGCGCCTGTTCTCCTGGTATGCTGCAACCGCCTCTGCCATCAATTGTGCTTCTGGATGATGGCCTACATCGTAGCTTTTGTCTTCTTGAACCAGTAGCTTGATTGCGGTGTCCAATCTCTCGATGAGAACATCAGGGGTTGCTTGAGTTTTGGCGTTGGACATGAAGAGATCCAGGGTACATCTGCTGCGCACCGAATTGTCGTCGCCATCGTACTCAAACAGCTCCAGGAGTGAGGTTGACATGTCTTCCACGGCCGACTCTTCGTGCCTGTGTGTTTTGGTCACTGCGATTATGTGCTTGACCAGGAGCCTGACGAAGCGAGACCTTATGTGTCGGATTTGTATCGTCGACTGCAGCATGACATCGCTCAAGTCTAAACCCAGAAACTCACTCACGTCCTCGTTGAACATCTGCGGAGGTTCTACCCCGAAAAACGAGCGAAACTCTCTTTCCTGGGCAGTCTCCATCTTAAAGTAATTTACCTGAGTTTCTGTCCACTCGGAACCTGATTTGCATGGCAGCCGTCGCATGCTTTAGGGTTAAACAGTGAATAACGCCAGCAAGGGGTATATTCATTGAATAATTTCTGGTATATTCATCGAATAACTTCTAGCATATTCAATGAATATACCAGAGGATTCCGAGACAATACTATCAACTTTTTAGATTTGGAGAGTCCTTCTCTCAAGCTCTACATTTCTTCTTGCTTCTACACGTCAGATCCTCGCTCCAATCCTCGCTCCCAACGCACTTCTTGCACACAAACAGGCCCTGCGGATCCACAGCCTCCTTGATGAGCTTGAGCTTGTCATACTTGTCGCCAAAGAATGCCTGCTGCCAGTCCGGCTCGTTAACATCCGCCTCGTTGAGATAGCAGCCCGAGGATGGCGCCACTCTCCTCAGCCTGCCCCCGGTCTTGGTGATGGCGCGAGCAAGAGACTTCTTCGCCGCCTGGGTCTCGTTGGCAGGGAAGAGCTTCACGACTATGATGTGCCACAGGGCTTCCCTCCATGCCGGATTCACTGCGTTGTCTCGAGCCACTGAAACCTCGCCACCCGCGGTCAAGTACCCCATGACTCGATCGTATCCCTCGTCCCAAATCCCGACTAGAGTCTGTGCCAGCTCCTCCGGATCGTCGCTAAAGGTGCTGCTCGGGATCAATCTCGACACCAGCAGCTCCGAGGAGCCAGTTGCGAAGGAGCAGCCGGACTTGGAGCACTGGACGGCCTCGTGCCACTTGAGGTAGGAGGAGAAGCTCTGCATTGCCCCGTTGACGCTCACGCCGGCGATGCCCCTCGCCTCCGAGAGGAATGGATCGAACGAGCTCTGCGCAAAGGAGGAGTTCTTGTCTGGAAGAAGGTACTGGACGATGAGCGCCCGCTTGGCGATGAGGAAGAAGCCACCCCATCCGTCCTGGGACAGGCCCGGATTGCTCTTGACGAACTCCGTGACGACCAGCTCAAAGCTCTCGGAAGTGTTGGCGCCGACAACGTACGAGGCAAACTGCAAGCTCTTCAGCGCAGGATGAGTCGCGTGAGTCACGGAAACCACGACACCGAAAGTTCCTCCGCCGCCGCCACGAAGAGCCCAGAACAGGTCCTTGTTCTGGCAGGCATTCGCCACCACCAGCTTCCCGTCCGCCGTCACGACCTTGTACTGGAGAACGTTGTCCGCCGAGAGGCCATACTTGGGTGACAGAGGACTGTGCCCCGCGGCTTGAGGATAGCCTCCGGCAGCTCCAACCGAGGAACACTGAGCACCAGCTATGGCTTTCCCATGCGCGTCGGCAGCGCGGTAGAGCTCCTCCCACACAACTCCTGCTCCAATTGTCACGCCGGATCGAGCAGCCGAGCTGTTGCATCCCTCTGGAACAAACTCCTCGACGAAAGAAATATCCTTGAGGTGGTGCGTCCATATGCTAAGCGACCCCGCTGCGTTGCTGCGTCCCAAGTAGTCGTGACCCGTGTTCTTGACGGTCACACGAAGGTTGTAAGTCGCGGCAAATTCCACAGCTCTCTGGACGTGCGATGCGCTCGACACGTTGACGGCAAACACCGAGACCCGCCCTTGATAGCAGCTACTTGTCTTGTTCCCGGAGAGAAGGCAACCTTCGTTGCCATCCATCTCGAAGAAGGAGTCTTGCATGGCACCGGGCTGCGCAGCTCTCCAAAACGCATCGCTCCATTTCTGCGTCACCTCGAGGCACTGCAGAGCGTTGTACTCGGGCTCGTGGCACGGCCAAGCCGGCGGTTTCGAAGCTACGAGCTGCCCATCAATGGACGCATTGAGAGCCTGCCAGGCGCTTGAGTCGGGCCAGCAGTCATCAGAAGGTAGACACTTGCAGCTAAATGCCGTCGGTCTTGCTCGCATTGACGATGCCAAGAGCACAGTGAGGACGACGAGTAGCACACCACCGCAAAAGCCCATGCTCGATCGGAACTTCGGAAACTTGGAAACTGACTTGCCTCGAAAAGCGCGAGAGGCGGAGATATAAATGCTGCCCGAATGTCGAACCTGCCTTTCACTGCTGGGATAACTTCCTCCAGTCTACCTTCACTGTCGTGTATTGCCGCGGGTGATTTCTTGAGCGCATTCTCGCTTCGTGATAAAGTTGTCGACTTCGCACGCCATCTAGAACATCGGACTTACATGACCCCCCCGGCCCGGTCGAGAGGGAAAACACTCCACATATTTTGCTGGGACTCTCCAAAAAAATTCCGCCGATGGACGACGCACGCCGTCACCTCGTAAATCTTGCAATACGTGCCTGCCGTATGGCCTCGGCAGAAGTTTGCGGCGAGCCAGGCAGCGGTTCATGCTGTGGCCACGGCGGAGCCGTCGGGCTGAAGGAACTGCTGCCGCCACCCGACCTCGGAGTCCCACACATCTCACAACTGTCGGCAGGCTCCCAGTTTTCGTACGTGCAAGCTCGACACCTCCACATCTGAAAACTTATCCCGCCTCCACTTCCACCACCTTCATTCCTGGATCCCACAGATCCTCCACCGAAGCGACGAGACGGCGGTGGCGATGGTCGTCCCAGTAAGAACCACAGCGGCCTAGTCACCAACATCCACGACCAGTTCGCCGATCGTCTTACGAGAGCCCCGATGCCACTGGAGAAGAACCTGGGAGCACGTACGTAGAGCAGCCCTGCTAGAATTCCGGAGAGGTGGCCCAAGAACGAGGCGCCTGGCATGAACATCTGGACGAGAACGAGCTCTGCCCATGCTGCAAACCTCGCTGGTACTACGAAGCCATAGACGATGGCGTTGGCTGGAGAGTTGTGATTGAGGACTACCTTGAGAGCGAAGAGAAGCGCCGAGAATCCCACGGCACAGGACGTGTAAGGCGCAGGCGAATCGGTCAGGGTCGAGACGAGCGTTCCCAGCAACACCATCAAGCCGTGAGACATCCCCAGGAGGAGAGCCACCATGGACGCGAATTTCGGGCTTCCCATTCTACCTTCGAGCTGAACGCCCTTCCAGAGCAGTGAGATCATGTTGTAGAACAGGTGCGCTTCGTCGACGTGGTAGAAAGCCGAGAGAAGCAAGCGCTTCACATCGAAATTCTGCGAAATCTCGATCAAACCGGGGGATTCTCAAGAGGATTACGAGCGCTTACCCGGAGAACAAGGTAGGGACTGAGGCAGACCTCCTCGATCGATGGCAAAACCTCGTGCAGGCTCCCAGGGCGCAGATAGACGATCACATTCGCGAGAATCAGCGCCGCCGTGACCGGCGGCTTCCTCTCGAGCTGGACGAACTGCGAGAAAACGTGAAGCGCCAGCATGAGGAGCATCCCGTTGCTACGACCGCCGCGCCTTCCAGCCATCGCCAAAAGTCCCCCCGCGCAAACCCTAGGGAGCCCCGCGTGAGGTGTATCAACAAATAAAGCCTCGACACGCGTCAAAAGGATATTCCCACTTTCAAATTTGAAAAGTACGTCGTTGGAGCCCTAAAAACTTTGGCAAAATTTTGGCAGAGAGCTCTTCGCTTTCACTCTGTTCTCTGGAGTTTCGGCTCGGGCGCATCGTCATCGTCTTGGAAGATCGTGCGCTTCCCGGTCGCGGCATTCTTCTTATCCTCATGGTTACTATTTCCCTTGAATTTCCTGTCTTGCTTCCCGGGATTTCGAGCTCGATTGTCTCTGCTGTATCGATTTTGGCCGGAGGTTTCTCGCCGCTTGACCTGTTGATCCCAGATTTTCTTCCAGTAGTCACGCTCGGCTTGTCCTGGGCGAGAGAACGCACAGTAAAGCAAAGAAGAAAAACCAGCTTTGATTGCAAACCTTCGAGAGCTTCCAGCGTTGCCAAGTAATCCTTGATCACAAGACCGCCCTCGTCCGAGATCACGGCTGCTGTCCGTGCCTTGCCTGCGTCCTCTGGAGTTTCGAAGCGGATGTATCCCTCGGTCTCGCCCTTTGAGAAGTCGACAAACTGCAGGAAAAATCAAAAGTGAAGAGAAGAAAGAACGATGGCTTTGAGACCTTCACGCTCCCATACTGCTGGAAGACCGCCTTGAGGTCCTCCCTTATGACCGCGTCACTTTGAGTTCCTTTCTCTGTTTTCTCTTTTGCCTCTCCGTCTTTATCTTCAGTGTCTTTGCTCTTGTCTTCTTCTTTCTCCTCGTCCTTCTTCTCCTCCTCGGCCTTCTTCTCCGATTCTTGCTGGGCGCCCTTCTCAATCTTTGTCAGTTTAAAGCGCACAAGAAGTCCTTTCACATAGTCGTCCCTGAAGGAAGAAAAACAATCACTATCGCAAATTTCCAGGCAGACGGAATTACCTCTCTTTCTGTTCCTTCTTTGGCAGGGAATTCATGAGTGTCTCGAAGGAGTCCCTGCGAGAGAAAACCACGCCGTGAAAGATGAACTCACAACAGAAGTTTGAAAGAATTTTACTTGGACTGGAACTTCAAGTCGGCGCCCTTGAAGTTTAGTCCCATCCCAGACGCTCTCTGTGCTTCTTCTGGAGATGCAAACTCCACAATAGCGTAGCCACTGAAAGCTTTTACTGCAGGGTGACGAGGCACCCGCACGCTAAGAATCTAGAAAGCCAGAAAACGTTGAATTATCCAAAGACAAACCAAGTATAACTCCTACCTTGCAGTTGCTTTCAAAGAAAGCCTCGATCTCTTCTCTCGTGGTCTTCCACGAAAACGGTGACACTGCCAAACTCCGAGCATCAACTTCAGCACGAACCTCTTCCGGCTTTTGCATTTCGTGGACTCGTCCCACACGGAGGCCTGTAAACAACGAACACGTTTTAGAACAGGGAAAACCTTTGTTTAGTTTCCAGCTAGAACACATACCATCGTCCGAAACTTTGAGGAACGAGGATTTCCTCAAAACATCCGCGACCGCAGCGACGACACCCTTGGGAATCGTCTCTGGAGTGGTTTGAGAGAGCCGCAAGTGAAATCTCATCCGAGTGAAGGCGCAAATCACCGACAAGCTCACCACTGTTACAAGGAATGGATGTTTAGAAAAAAGCGATTTGAGTGGAAAGCGCGAAAGAAAAAGGTACAGCCGTCGGCGCTCTCCTCAATCGAGCGCAGTAGAAACGCATCGTTGGCGAGATTGCTGTCGCTAAAGTAGAATTCCACCTGCGAAGAGGAGAAAAGTCGCGCTCCATCTCACAATGCGCGTCCACTCACCTGTCTCGTGATCTTCGCCGCGGCGTCGTCGCCCACAGCACCATTCTCCATTCGATAAAAACCTCGAAAAACCCTAACCTCTAGAACCCTAAAAATCCTATCAAGGGAGCGATGGTGGAGGGAGCGCCGAGCTCCAAAACGGTGGCGGATGCCACCACCGCGCTCTCAGGTATTGATTTTCACTGTTTCGATCTTCAAGCTTAGATGTTGTGAAAATGCAGCTCGCGAAGCTGTCGGCGATTTACTGAACGCTTCCCTTACTGGAACTTTGGAGGAGTTTCAAGGTAAAATCTGGTTTATTTCGAGAAGAAGAAGAAGAAGAAGGACTAGGACGATTCTAAATCTTTGTGTGTGTGTGTGTGTGTGTGTGCTCCAGATGCTGCAAAGAAAATGGCACAAGGACAGGAGGCTATCGTGGATGTCATTGCTGCAGTAAAAGATGCCAATGGTCGCGGACCACTTCACTTTGCTGCTCGCGGAGGAAATCTCCAAGTCTGCAAAGAGCTCGTGGAGAATTTCCATCTGGAAGTGGATCAGAAAGACAACGATGGTGTGTTTTGTGACCTTATCGACTTAAGACTTTTCGTTTGGTTTTGTTTTTGCAGGAGAGACTCCACTGATCCATGCGGCACGACTGGGACACTTTGACACAGCTAAGTTTCTGATAGAGCATAACGCTCAAGTTTCGATGTCCTCACTGGACCTTGGATCCACACCGCTGCATCATGCTGCGGGGATAGGTACCTTGAGCTAGAAAAGACATGAAATCTGACGATGTTTTTATATAGGCTCGATTGAATTGATGCGACTATTCCTAGACAATGGTGCTAAGATCAACACTGAAAGTACTTCTGGAACGCCTCTAGTCTGGGCAGCCGGGCATGGAAACACAGAAGCCGTGAAGCTGTTACTCGAAAGTGGTGCAAACGTACGGCACTTTCAGAAAAAAGAAAAACGTTCCACCACTTCTGATTCTATGACTTTAGCCAAACATACTTGCAGAGAATGGCGTGAGTGCATTGATATCCGGAGCAGCCACTGGATCTTACGACGTTGTTTCTCTCCTGATCAGGGTATGTCATAAGTTCTCCAGTTTTTGGAAACTTTTTTTTTCTCTATTAACTCACTCTTGATACAGCATGGTGCCGATGTAAACATCAGCGCTGGTGGAGTAACTGCATTACATGTAGCTGCTGACACTGGAGACGAGAAGATGGTGAAATGTCTTCTAGACGCTGGAGCCGATCCCAACGCTCAAGACGAGGTATGTCGTGAGCTTCAGTTTGTTGTTTTTTTTCCGTTAGGTGCTGTTGTTTAACTCGGTTTTTCTACTACTTTGGTGTTTCAGGATGGTGCCAAGCCTATCCAAGCCGCTGCTGCCAGAAACTCTCGCTCGATCGTGCAGATGCTTCTCCCTCTCACGTCACAAGACGCAAAGGATAACGAGTGGAGTGTGGACGATCTCATCGCCAGAGAAGCGCCTCCAAGGACGACGGAGGTCAGAGTTTCTATCCTTTTCCTCCACTGATGGATCGATCCATGTTGCTGCAGATATCTCAAGAAATGCTGGACAAAGCCAGTGAAGCCAAATCGAGAGGTACTGAAGCTTTCAACCGGAAAGATTACTTGATTGCTATAGATGCATACACACAGGTCATACACACACCTTTTCTTCTTTTTTCTTATTCTTTTCGGCGTGTTATTGTGCTTACTGTGTTGATTCCAGGCCCTTGATATAAATCCTACCGATGCTTCGCTCTACTCAAACCGGAGTGTGTGTTGGATACGAGCTGGCCAAGCCGAGCAGGCACTCAAAGACGCAAAGGCGGCAGTGGATTTAAGACCAGACTGGGCCAAGGCACGGTATCGAGAAGGCGTTGCATTGAGGCTTTTAGAGGTAAGTAGCTTCCAATACTTTCTCGGGTCTAGAACTCACAGTAAACTCTATCAAAACAGCGATTCGAGGAGGCTGCTACTGCGTTCTACGATGGTATCAAACTGGAACCAAACAACAAGGAGTTGCAAGAAGCTTTCAGGTAGCCATTGTTTTCTATCCTAGTTTCTATATCCCGGGTTGATCACAGGTTAGCCGTCGAGACTGGGAAGAAACATCACGCGAACAATCAAAAGACAGTGTAAAGTCGTGAGAGAAAAAAATCATCGCTTTCTTTCTTAACACTTCGTTCTAGAAGTAATTTACATAGTGACTGATGTTAGCAGCTCACATAGCGCAGCCTTCCCAGCTCTTTTCACGTACAATCGAGCAAAAGGTAGCAACACCTCGTCGAGCATTTCGTGGCCACCGTCCAGAGGTGGCTTGATGGCCTTTCGTATCAGCTCGGTTAGCTCCATGCTCCCCCTGGCCGAGACGTAGGCCTGGAAGCTCTCGAGGAGGGCCTCTCGGAGGTAATGGTGGTCGTCTGGCGGTGGCGGCGGCCTTGGCTTGAGGAATGCGTGCTCCAAGAGCTGGGGTATCCTCGGCCGCTTGTCCTTGTCCCACATAAGGCAGCTCTTCATCACGTCCACGATGAGCGGGTTGGACACTGGCGGGAAGTTGATTACATGGTTCTCGTTGGTGATCTCTCGGATCTTCTGGTAAAAACTGAGGTGGGAGAATGGTGTCCGGCCGTAAACCATCTGGTAAAGGATGCATCCAAGCGACCATATGTCTGACGCGCGACCACACTTGACGGTTCCCTGCTCGTCCCTCGAGTTCATGAGGAACGCTTCCGGGGACATGTAGTTGAGGGTCCCAACCTGGAAACGCAAGAGCTCTCGATGTTTATCAAAGAAAGTAACGAAGAAGCTTTGTACCTGAGACTCTCGCACGATGTTGGTTGTGTCGTTTTGTATGGCTTTGGCGATCCCAAAGTCGATAAGCTTGAGAGCTCCTTGGACGAGGAGAAAGTTCGCGGGCTTGAGGTCGGCATGGACGATCCGCTCTTCGTGTATTGTATTCACAGCTTTCAAGATATGCTGCAAATGGAAGACAAGTTTAAACGAAGACGACGAGCTAGAATGTTTTACCTCCCAATGCAACCGCAACCAATTCTCATCAAGCTGTCCATCCTCGCTTTTCTTCCGCTCAAGAATGCGTGCTAAGTCAATCTCTCCGTACTCCAGCACCATGTAAATCCGCACGTCGTTAAGGATTTCACCATGGGCAGCAGCACTATCGGACCTGAAGATGGTTTTATCGGTCACCTGAAGAATAGACGCAACTGAGCACGATAGTTTACCAGCGTCGACACGTACCTCGTAATCTATAAGTTGGATAATGTGATTCTTTCCTTTCAGACGCTCCAAGTATTCGATCTCCTGATGAAAACCGCAAGCTGTCTGATGATCCCGTCCTTTCAAGATGATCCTCTTGAGAGCGTAAATTGTGCAGTCTTGGGCGATGACTTTGAATACGTGACTGCTTCCACCGCTTCCGATTTTCCCAAGCTTCTGATACCTCTTGTTGTTCACCCACACAAAGTTCGCATTCTCTCTTGTCTTGCCGCGAGAAGAATCACTCTCCTTGCTCTCTGTGACAACTTTGTCGTGAACATTGGCACCCTCGGCAACTTTCACTTCCTGCTGCTGTGACCGCAAGCTGTGAAGCTCTTCCTTCACACCACTGAAACCGTTTAGAAGCTTGGAGGCACCTCCTCCTTGCTTGCTCTCAATCTGCTGAAATTGCTTGCTTTCTGAAACTTGGATTTGCTGGTTTTCTGCCACTACGACTTGGTGATGGTTCACTACGTGGACCTCCTGGTTCTTAGCTACCTGGACTAGCTGATTCACTGCTACTTCGCTTTGCTGCCGGGACTCCACCACCTCGACTTGGTCGTGACGGATCTCTGCGAGGAGCTCACTTTGTTTTTGCTGGTTCTCTGCTTGTAAGTCGTTTTGCTTCTGTTGGTTCTCGGCAGCCTCAAGTGATTCGTCTGAGCCAGTGCTGTCGTCCCCACGAAGAACGCGTCTAGGCCGACCTGGAATCAAGCAAACTCCAAAGTAAGAGCTCTCTTTCTCACTCTTCGCCGAAGCCCGAGAAGAAACTTACCTAGCAACTTAAACCTGGAGTTTCTAAACGTTCCAGGAGCGCAAATCCCCGCGATCGTCCCAAGATTTGGAGCGATGCTCCCGGATGCCGTGTTGTGATGCGCACTCCCGATCGCCGCGCGTGCCTCGTCGGTGATACCAGACGCATCCCAGCCTGCATTGGCGGATGGAACCGCGAGGTCGTGATCCCTGAGCTCCACGGAGCTTCCAGGGGCGAAAATCCCCGAGATCGTACCCAAACCCGGTCCTGTGTGTCCCAGCACCGCATTGTGATGCGCGGAGCCGAGCACCGGGCGCGCTTCTTCTGTGAGGATCGATGCTACGCCTGCGGCTGGAGGAGCGAGCTCATTCTCCATAGAACTTCCATGGAACAAAACAAGAACCCTAGCTAGGTAGGAGTGAAAAAAATATTTGCTACCCGGTTAAAATGGTAAAAGAGACGTCACTCGCGATATGGATGGACGCCCACGATTGCAAGGTTTGAAGGAGCAGCGAGCGAGGGAAGGCGGAGAAGGCGCTCTTCGCGATTTGGCATCGATCGATCCGGTAAGTAGTGCATTGCATTGGAAGGGAATTTTGGGAGATTTGGCTGCTCTCAGCGCTGCGAATCCGTGCGATCAGGGTTTGCGTGGCCTGAAAATCTCGATTGCCAGCGCCCTAAACCCAGGCGCTTCGCGTGATATTGGCATTTCGATGATTTCATCAAGCTTCTCGTCTTGATCGATCGTCTTGTCTTGTGTCGATGGATTTGCCTTTTTTTTTTCTTGGTTCTTTCTTCTTGGTGGTTTTCTTTAAGAGAGCGACTGGACTGGCATCCTTTTTTTTTCCCGTGTTATCGCAAAAGAAATCTCGCTAACACGATGACCACTTTCCGCTTGAACAGGAAGAGCAACGAGATGAGCATGAGAATCCCGAGCAAGGAAAGAATAAAAATCCAGTCTCTCAAGAACAACCATCATCTACTAGTCTGCCGGATCGTCCTTGGTCCGGACCACGCAAAGAAGCTGAGAGCTTGATTCCAATTCCAGCACTGGAGTGGTCCTGTCGTGATCAAACGCAACGATCCAGCTTACGTGCCAGGAACTTAAGCGCAGCGATGGAAGATCAAACAAGAAAGGAAGAGATATCTGCAAAAGTGGATTGGACAGGCTAGATTTCCAGCACCTTGCGCAGCGGGTCACAGACACAGACACAAGCGTCTCGGTGATCCGGTGGTGGCATCCTAGCCGTTGGTGTGGTTGACGGCAATCCATAGGAAAGCAAAGGTGGGAGCTTATTTAGCAGCGGGTGGATAACGACGATTATCGGCCGGTATATTAAACTTTGACTGGCACAGAGCCTCCAGCAGCAGCGGTGCCGGAGCCGAGCAAAGCTTTCCTCGCTCTCCTCGGCTCTCTCGCTCAACTCGAGAGAACGGGATCGGTGCGTCAGCAGGGGTGGGAAAAGAAGGAAGGGGGCTGTACCGGGATCCTCTTTTTCGTAGATAGCGAAGTTAGCTCACCCGCACCGGAGATGCATCAGCTTGCTCTCAAATTGTGCTCGTCCACGCCATTGGCACAGGTTTTCGCGCAGCAGCAGCAACACAAAAGGTGCCTGCCGGTGGCGACTTGCTCCAGATCCTCGTCATGGGAGACCGCTAGAGGCTCCGAGTTTAGGGGCAGGTCCATGCATGCCGAGGTCAAGAAGATGAGCGTTTTGGGGTTCAGCAACAGGCTCCGGCTGCCGTCTTTGGTGAGAGCACGCGCCAGTGGTGAGTTTTTCTTTTCTGCTTTCTCCTCTCCTGGCTCTCGGAGCCTGATCTGATTGATCCCGGGAGTGCTCCATCGCTTCTTGGGGGCTTAGATCTTTAAGGCATTGATCTACTCACTGGGTTTTCCATGCAGACGGTGAGATGCAAGAATTTGTCGACAAAAAGTCGTCTTCTGGAGGAGCAGTACTGCCTTATGTGGCAATCGCGAGCCTGGGAGCATTTCTGTTTGGCTACCATCTCGGGTATGGCTAATTTCTGGCACGCTTCGCTCTCAATCTGCTCCTCTGGACAGGGTTGTAAATGGAGCTCTGGAGTACCTCGCCAAGGACCTTGGCTTCGCTGGCAACGCTGTTCTACAGGGTAATGCGTTCTAGAGCTCCTCCTGCGCTTTCAGTGACGCGTTCACACTTTACAGGATGGGTTGTGAGCTCCACGCTGGCTGGTGCGACTATTGGATCCTTCACCGGTGGATCCCTGGCTGATAAAATCGGCCGCAGGCACACGTTTCAGCTCGATGCGTTGCCGCTCGCGATTGGAGCATTTCTCAGGTCAATCTCGTTTTCTTATCGTTTTACCAGCACTTAATATTCGAAAAGTCGCATGCAGTGCAACAGCGACCACTGTGCAGGCCATGATAGCAGGAAGGTTTCTGGTGGGGGTCGGAATAGGAGTCACGTCCTCTATTGTACCTCTCTACATTTCTGAGGTTGGTGTCACCAAAGATCACTCAGCTTAAAACCTTAGCTTATCCGGCAAGTGCAGATTTCCCCAACTGAAATCCGCGGAGCCCTCGGCTCGGTTAATCAGCTGTTCATTTGCATCGGTATTTTGGCCGCACTGGTTGCTGGGTTACCCTTGGCTGGAAATCATGGATGGTAAACTTCAGCTTTGCGATAGAAAATGGAACTGAAAATGACCCAAGTCTATGATGCAGGTGGCGTTCTATGTTCACTTTGGCTACTGTACCGGCGATTCTTATGTGGCTAGGAATGGTGTTCTCTCCTGAGAGCCCAAGGTGGCTGTATAACGTAAGAGATTTTTATTTTTTTGGAGGTTTTTCTCTTTCTTACAACATTTTAAATGCAGCAAGGACGGCCTGCCGATGCCGAGAAGGCCATTGAACGTCTGTGGGGAAGGGCCAGAGTGAATGATGCCATGGCGGAGTTGAGAGGTAGCGGTAGCAAACAGGATTCTTCTGAGGAGAGCGCTGGCTTTGGCGACTTGTTTAGTCGACGTTATCGCAGAGGTATGACAGCCTTTTCCTCATTTTTCTTCTTTGATTTAAATCTTTTATGGTCGATGCAGTTGTAGGCGTTGGGGCAACGTTGTTCTTGCTTCAACAGTTTGCTGGTATCAATGCAGTTGTTTATTACTCAACTGCAGTGTTTCGGAGCGCCGGCATCACGTCCGATGTTGCAGCGAGTGCGCTCGTTGGAGCTGCCAACGTCTTTGGTACGCGTAGCTCTCCTCTGTTTCCTTCGTCTAACTCGACACCATTTCAGGAACTGCTGTGGCCGCATCACTGATGGACAAACAAGGACGCAAAAAGCTTCTTATCACAAGTTTTGCGGGAATGGTAAGGCCTTTCAAGCTTGTCCCATTCGCTGATCTTATCCGTCGTGTGGCAGTCAATATCAATGCTCGTATTGGCCCTTGCTCTTTCATGGAAGGCATTGGAGGCTTACTCTGGATCCTTGGCTGTTCTGGGGACTGTAACGTAAGTGCAATCCTTGTCTCATGATGTTTGTCTCTCTAACGAAAACTATGGCGTTTCTTTCCAGATATGTTCTTTCTTTCTCGCTGGGGGCTGGTCCCGTGCCCGGTCTACTTCTTCCGGAGATATTCGCGAACAAAATCCGAGCGAAGGCTGTTTCACTGTGCATGGGTGTGCACTGGGTACGAAGAAGAATTGTTTTGCTAGCTTGTGCTAATGGGAGACGAATGCAGGTGTGTAACTTTGCAATTGGGCTCTGGTTCTTGAGTGTCGTCAACAAGTTCGGCGTGAGCAAAGTGTACTTGGCCTTCTCTAGCGTGTGCCTTCTGGCAGTGATCTACATTGCAAACAATGTGGTGGAGACCAAAGGACGGTCCCTGGAAGAAATCGAGCTGGAGCTCACGCCTGCTGTCTAGCAAAAAGAGGAGAAGCTCTGAATGACAATTTTGCTCTATGAACTGTTTGGAAAAGCTTTCAGAAAAGAGCAGATTTTCTTTTATAAAACATGATTAAATCTCCACCGTCGATCAAAGTTCATCGTAGCCGTCTAGTTATACCCGTTGACAGGCTCTGAAAACCAGGTCAGCCTAGAAGAAGCGATGGGGGAGCGACGCCGGTTTAGTGAGTGTCGTCCATGAGAGGAAGGTTTAGGGACCAGCGAGCTTCTCTCATGGCCAAGATCCACGGCTTCAATCCTCCAATTCTCGATGGATTGCAATAAAGACTGCAATCCCTTCCTCCAGCGTCGAGCAGCTCCCTGCTGGATGCCAATGGCAACCAAATATTTGAATAGCCATTCTTGCGAGAAATTTGATCCTTCGATAAACGTTAGGGAGTTTCTTAAATGAACTTTAGCACACGCCTTTCTCGCTTTGTCGAAGAAGAGCGGCATAGTTTTGTTCGCCATCTCGTTCTTGCTCCGCAATTGTTCTCGGCAGCCACCGAAAAAAAGCTTTTCCAGCTAGAGACACGAGTTGTCCGGAAAAAGAAGCAAGCAAACGAATGCGAAAACCCTGGATGGAAAATAGCAAACCGGACTGGCTGCTGGCATTTGCTTGCCACTCGGACTTTTTTCACGACCAAGTCGTTGTCGAGGCCAGGCAACTCCACACACGGCTTGTAGATCTTGCTGCTGCTGCTGCAATGTATCCATAGCTCTCCCAGCACCTGATCCCTCTTGCTCGGGTCCACAGCCAGCATCCTGGAAAGGAGATCTTCTGCCACAAATGAGAAAGGACCAATCAAGGTCCTCCTTTGCATAGACCTTCTTGGTCATTTTGGGAGAAGGCTTCATTGCTTTCTCTACACTTCTAGCAGACTCTGGCGCAGGCTCGGTCGGAATGGACACTGGCAGACTTCTTCTGTGGCCATGCCTACCGAGTCCCTCCAAATTTGTCCTAGTCTTGTCCCCCTGTGGATAGATGCCTCTACCTGGGACACCTGAGCCCCGAGGAGCTCGACCAGCTGTGCCACAGCAAAGATGTACCAGATGCCCGCTTTCACCTGCGGTTGCTCTCAGATTTCGCCCGAGAGCTGCTGCGGCACGACTTTGCCGATTCGCACGAAGACGATGAAGTGTGGGAGCCGCTGGAGCGGTCCTGGGAGCAGTTTTGTCTTAGCAAGGGGATGATTGTGCACCCTCGTCGCTTTGTGGATCGTTGGCAGACTGAATTGGAATCCTATCCTCTGGAGCCCCTCTGCACTCCACCACCTCTCTGCTTCATTGTTGGTAGCGCATGCTTTGATCTATTTTCCTTTGCCTGAGCCAACTTTTTGCAACAGGGGACAAGCTGACAGGGATGAGCTCCCCGGCACCCGGATCTTTTGTTCTCTTCTCCGGTAGGCTTCATGGACCTGGGACGGTGTCCTATCCTTTTATCGTATCTGGGCGTACTAATTGAATCCTTCAGGAAAGCATGTCCTCAACATTTCGATCTTGTCTGCAAGTTGATGGAGAGCGACTATTTCTTGTGTTTGCCCCTGGCTGGAACCTCCGAAGGGCCAGCGAGGGTCATAAAGACGTGCAGGAGAGAGTGGCGAGAGCATATTCAGGGCTCATGGGCAACAGGAGTGCCATAGGCGAAACATATGCCAGGCGGACGCCGTACTTTTATGGTGACATTTTCTTCATGCCGTTCCGCGTCAAGGAGGCGAGGCTTTTGCGCCGCGGGGTGTTCTACAGCCACCTCCTACGTTTGCTGGTGCTGGAGAGGCCCCCAAACTCCACCCTCCCGCACTACCACTCGCTCCTCAACTGTGCTACTCATGCGCGCCTCTGGCTTGACCGTTGCGACCTTCGAGTCTACTACGACCTCAGCTTGACGTGTACGTCTATTTTGCCCACTTGCTTTGTGAGGCTAACCGTGATCAATCGTCTGTGACGACAGATGGTGAAATATGCACGAGAGGAGATGCGGCAGCGGAAAGTCAGGTAAACAAGTAGTGCACTGGTCAGTGTTTTCAAACTTGTTTTTCTTGTTTGTAGGCTCTTAAAGACGGGTACCTCGTGGAGCGGGGCCCGTCTATACTGGAGCTTAGCCTGAGGCAGGCCGCCATAGTGGTGTTCTGGTACGTAGAATCGGAGGATGTATGTAATCCAATGCGTTGATCGTATCAGGCACAATCTTGGAAAACCATTCAACATGCGTCCAGAGGATTACAAGATTCCAGAGGAAGTGGAGCGAGGCAACGAGATGTTGTGGAAGGGAGTCAAGCAGCTGGGGCATACATGCAGTTTTGATAAACCTCTGCTTTCCCGACTGATGTTTGCGGCGTCCGTGTACATTGGTCGTGTCCCTTGGGAAACGGCAGCAAAGAGGAAATGGCTGTTCCGGCATGGTGAGCCCAAGCAGATAGACAGGAAAGCCATTTTGAATGCTCTACGTGAGAAAGACTTTGTCTTTCGCATGCGTCCAGGTTGAAAAGTACATTGTCCAACTTGAGATCCCGGTGAATAATGCCTCTCTACAATAAGCAGTTGATTGGCATATTAGATTTTATTGCAAATGTGACTTTGAACCAAGAGCTACATTCTGGCTCGGGTGATTGCGAAGAGCGAGTAATCCTCTCCTTCAAAAGTGCTATCATTAGATTGCTACTAGAGAGTGACAGACTTGATTGGAAATACTGGCAACTCACCTTTGGATACAATTGCATACGTTGGACTGTAATCACAATATTCTTAGCATGGTCAATGATATTACAATACGGCTTTTCGGTCTTTTTTGGGTTGGACTTGGCTCTCTATGCCCTCGAGGTTGATGCTGGTGCATCACATATTGATTGTCACACATGAGTGACCTACTCACTTTCATTCTTCTCTCTATTGTTGGTCCCAGAACAATAAAATAATTCACCATTTTCACAAAAAAGTTGCAAAAGCTTGACAAATCATGTAGTATAAAATCAAAACTCTCAAATCACAGACAAGAAGCTGAAGAGGAAGACTTAGAAAACAAATCAAACTTGTCAAAAAAGTTAGTAGTATTGCCCCAACCAAGAGGGTGATGCAATCCAATGTATTTAGCTATAAGTTAGGAACATGCTACATTGCAAGGTTGCAAAAATCACTATCTTTTCCAAAGTATGTCTCTTAGCTTGTTTTGTAAAAAGTTTTTTTTTATATATAAGCAAGAATAAATGTTTAAGATTTATGAGAGAAATTTTTTATTACCACATTAGTAATAATTTTCTGTAGATTTAATAATATAGTTAATATAAGATTATAAAAATGTTTACAATTTATAAACACAAGATTAATCTTATTGAATATCAATACCATTAGATGGTAGAATAAATTAGAATATACTAGGAAGTGTTTAGGAAAGTTTGTAAATTATAAATACAAGATTAATCTAAATGAATAACAACAGTAGAAAACCCTTAGAATATCAAAGCATATTTTAGGTATATACACTACCACCTACAAGTTTGCTAACCAATATTAATGAGCATGTTTTTCAGTGACATAGTTATTAAAGTTGAGATCCAAATATCCTCAAGTGTAACCCATAGCATAAATCTCCACTATATTAATATCCACTTGGTTTGCAAGGATGCCTTCATGGTTGAGCCTCTAAAACCACTACCTATTTATAAAATTAAGGTAAAGAAGAATTTTCAAGAGCATTTATATTACTTGTTTATATTAAATTTTTTATATCTAATGGAATTTACCAATGAACTCAAAACAGTTTATATGGTGATTTATTAAATATTACAAAAAAAGTAATGGATTGTATTTCAAAGTATACTTACATAGCATAACATAGCATGAAATTTCATATTAGTAGTGTTTAATTATTCTCATTTGTTGCAAGTAAAAATTTCTAAACTAATGCCAGACACAGTATCTTAAACCGCTAATGCATAATGTGGCATGAGAGAGATATTTTTTAATATTATGGTGTAACATAAATAGTTATTTATAAACCCATATTATAATTTACTCATTTAGCAAAATTTTGAATTAAAATATATTTTCATCAATTCAATAAAATTTTGAATAAAGTTTTTATATTTTTTTCCTTCAATAGTAGATTATAGCATAAAACTATTGTTCAAGTATTATTATTTATTTTGTTGAAAAATATTTATATGCTTAATCATATATCATATTTTTTAATATGAGCTCTATTTTATCTATGTCTAAAAAATATTAATATTTAATTTAAATTGTTAAAAAGACAAAAAAATACCTTACAAGCATAAATCTTTAGCAAAGATAAAGCAATTAAAGAAATAATATAGGAAAAAACTCAAAGGCGTTGCAATTAAAGAAGTAATTATTTATATCAATTAAGGAAAAAGTTAAGTGTATATTTTTTATATTCACTCTTGACATAAATTCTAGATTATAAGGATTAGATCTAAGACCATTTAATATTTTTATTTTATTTAGTCTTTTAGCTTATTAATTGTTTTTCCACTAAAAATTTATGCAAAACAAATGTAAAAATCACAAAGAGCACCAATGTAAATACTAAAAAAACTTGATTTCAAACATTTTTTTAAAACAAAAAAACTGTTTAAAACAAAGATATTATCCATAACATATATCAAAAGTACTACTAGTGAAGAATAAAGTAAAATTTATGATAATATTATTAGAAAGGTCTCAGGTTTGACTTTATTGGTTGGTTATATATTGAACTTGATATTTCTTCTAAAAGGTAGGGTATTAAAAGAGTAACTCTTTTAGGAAAGTAATGTGATAGATTGTAAGTAACAAAAGAGAATAATTAATGAGTTTGTCTATATAAAAGATTGTGTCTTAACTTATTATTTTTTACTATACTGCTTGCTATTGTATGCAAGAGAATTTATCTAATCTTTGCAACTATTATCCTCTTCTAGCAATTAATTATAGACTACAAAAAATATTTATTTTTTATCAATAAAACGTTTTAAAATTGTTGAATATCAAAACTAAATCATCTCAACTTTAGAAAATATATTATGTATAAAATATTTAAAGTATAGTATATATGAAGCGCTCTTGTAAAGCAGACGTCGAAACCCATCATCACAAACGAGGGCAAGAAGAGTATTCGAAATGAGATAAAGGCTCAAATCGCTAAGAGCGAGATAAAGCCGCCAATTGCTAGGAGCAAGACAAAAACACCAATCGCAAGAAGCGAGACAAAGATATAATGCTAATTATTAAAGTATGAAAGACATATAATAATAATTATTTTGCAACATTAACGAAAATCATATGCGAGTGGTGGTGCGCATGGGGTTCCACTTGATCTTTGGAGCTGTGAAACGAGCAGCACACCCATCACCAACACCAAAATCGAGATAGTGAACACCCCGTTCCTCTCGTCTCTTCACAGCATCGCCCAATGGTACATTCAAGGACCTAGCATTGAGCACCTTCTTCACTGGCTCACACTCGATTTTCATGCTAGCGCTCGTCTCAAGCACCTTAAGACTCCTCCGCTGCTGTGACGCCTTTCTTGCTGTGTTGCAAGGCTTGATCGCCCTTGCCACTGTCTTACTGCTTTCCTTGTTTTCTTTGTGGAGCTCAATCCTCGCGACTTGATCTTTGCAGTGATCCTTGCAGGGTTCTTTGACTGCATATCCCTTCTTGTGCAGCTTGATCCTCACGATTATAGGACCCCTCGACTTGTCTTGATCCTTGCAGGGTTCCTCTCGGGCATCATTTCTCCTTACCTTCTTGAGGGGTTGGCCATCTTTGCATTCCTCCTCGCGCTCTCTTTTCTTACTTGCCTCGCCAGCTTCGGCCAAAGCCTCCATGAGCTCGTCGTTGTCAACTATCAGCTCCTTGATGACGGGCATACCGCCGTGCATCTCCACAAAAGTACTCGCCATCTTTTGCCCTTGATCCTTGCAGGGTTCCTCTCGGATGTCATCTCTCCTTACCTTCTTGAGGGGTTGCCCATCCTTGTGTTCCTCCTCACGCTCTCTTTTCTTACGTGCCTCGGCAGCCTCGGCCAAAGCCTCCATAAGCTCGTCGTTGTCAACTATCAGCTCCTTGGTGACGGGCATACCGCCGTGCATCTCCACAAAAGTACTCGCCATCGTTTGCTTCAATCCTTTACCCTGATTTGCAAATGCCAATTTAAAGGGAAGATGGACATGGCCCTTAATCTAGACCGTCCAAAACGCCACGCGGCAGAGTTTAACCCTCACGCAAAAGGTTTTGGAAATTTTAAACAAATAAAGCAAAAGGAAGAAATAATTAAATCTATCAAAAAATGTCATAAAACCAAACAATCCCGAGAACCTTTCGTTCTTCCTGGGAGCATGGTAATTTTCCCTGCTGATTTTGAAACAAAACTCTCTGCGATGCAAGAACGGATTCTGGTTGCTTCTAGATGAGCCAAAGATGGACCTTTGAGCTCCGACCCCGGGAGAACGTTTGCGCTGAAGCCAGCATTCTGGGACTGATAGTCGGGAATGGTGACAAGAACCTGAACTTTCGAGCAGGGCAAGGCCCGAAGAATCGAGGGATGAGCATCACCCTGCAGCGGCTATGTGCCACTTTTGGTTAAACCTCAAACTTGGGGCACGAGCAAGCAAGACACCCGTAGTCGGCGACAACCACGCCAATCCGAGCCTCCGTGTTGCCTTCGTCAACACCTTACAACATTTCTGGCTTCCACACATTAAGTAGTGAGTAGTGAGCAGCCTTCTCTGCACAAGATGATCAGCGAGTCCAAAAGCTTTCGTAGCATCCGAGTGTGAGTCGTACCAAGAGATTGGCGATGGCGCCATTAAGAGTCTTGGAGATTTTTGGGCGCATAAAACTCAGTCCCTCCGAGTGTCTGCTTAAAAAACTCTAAATCACGATAAATTTCTTGTGTGGCTTCTACAGCGTCTTTGAGCACGTGTTTGCAACGATCGAGGCAACAGGCGAGAGGATTTATGAGATGCATCGAGCACATCAGACATTGCAAAGATCTAGCGGAGCTCATTAGCATCCAGCGGGATCTTTCGTGCTGCTTGGACGATGTTTATGCGGCGAATCTAATGATCCAAGCGTATGGCAAGGTTGGAAGGCCAGACTATGCTCGCCAGGTATTCGATTCCATCGCCAACGACCGAAACGTCTTCTCGTGGAGCTTGATGCTCTCGGCCTATGCCCAGAACGGGCACCTCCAGCATGCCAGGGAGATATTCGACGCAATGCGAGAGACGAATCTCGTGGAGTGGAACACAATGCTCTCAGCATATTCTCAAACTGGGAATCTTGCGGATGTCCAGGGAATTTTCTTCCAGATGCCGGAACGCAACATCATCTCGTGGAATTCTTTGCTTTCTGCATATGCCCGGGCGGGGCATATGCAAGTGGCGTTTGAGATCTTTGACAGCATGCGAGAATGGAGTCTAGTTTCGTGGACGGCACTTTTGTCAGCGCCTGTGCAACACCGTGACTGCAAGCTTGCGTGTTTTGTTTTCTCGTCAATGCCCGAGTGGAACATGTTTTCTTGGAATTTGATGCTTTCTGCGTATTCCCAGGCGCATGGTGTTCACAAAGCCGAGAAGTTTTTCCAATCGATGCCCGAGTGGAATGTGGTGTCGTGGAATACAATGCTCGCTGCTTACACCTCCGATGGTTTGATTTCTAAGGCAAGAGAGTTTTTGCATAGACTAGAGGAGCGAAACATTGCCACATGGAACACCATGCTGTCAGGATTTGCCCAGGTTGGGGATGTGTACAAGGCCGAGCAGACTTTTCAAGAGATGACGGAGCGGAATTTGATAACCTGGACAACGATGTTATCTGTCTATACGGAAAACTCTAGGTTAGAGCAAGCAAGAAATGTTCTATGTTCAATGCCGGAATGGAATTTACCGGCTTGGAACACCATGCTTACAGCGTATGCCGCATCAGGGCATATGCACCATGCAAGAGAATTGTTTGCTAGAATTGGCGGTAGCAACATTGTGACATGGACTGCCATGCTCTTAGGCTACGGTCAAACGTTGAATACCGATAAAGCAAGGGATTGTTTCCAAAGAATGCCGGCATGGAACAACGTCGCGTGGAATTCCATGCTGGCGGTGTATGCCAACTCTTTTCATTTGTCACAAGCAAAAGCTTTGTTTGATTCAATGCCAATGCCGGACACAGTCTCGTGGACCACTCTTCTCGTTGCTTATGCAAAGCTGGGTCATGTCGAGGAGGCCGAGCAAATGTTTCGCAGTATAAAGGAAAAGGATCTTATCGCGTGGAACGCGATGCTCGCAGCATATGCCTTAAACGGCTATTTTGCTCGGGCTGCACATATCTTCGTCGCGGAGATGGTCGAAAGGGATATTGTGTCGTGGAACGTGATGGTGTACATGCGAGGGCTGAACGGACAGACCCAGCAATCCACAAAGTTGTTCCAATCATCCCCAGCAAGGGACATCGTGTCATGGACTGCGTTGTTGGGTGGATTTGCACAGAACAAGCAGCCGCACCAGTTGATCCAGCTCTTCCACTTCATGAAACTCACGATATCTCCAGACGACGCATGTTTCGCCAGCATCCTACTCGCATTTACCCACACGGGGGATCTGGAGGGTGGTCGCGGCTGCTTCCGCTCGATGACAATGGATTTCGGCATCGCCGCAACCAAGCAGCACTACTGCTGCCTGGTGGATCTTCTCGGCCGCTCGGGATACTTGCAGCAAGCGGAGGAGCTCATCCGCTCAATGCCGTACTCGCCCGATCTCCTCGACTGGATGAGCTTGCTGGGATCGTCCCGGAGCCACGGGGATCCCGAGCGAGCAGCAGCGGCGGCGAAGATGGTGTTGGAGCTGGAGCCAAGAAACGCAGCCGCATTTGTGCTGCTTGCAAACGAATCAAGCACAAGAATCTTTGGTAGAACAACTGAGAGTATTAAAAAGCCACACTTTGCCTTGTGAATTTGTGACCAACCAATGTGGGGAACACAATCGATTAAAGCGAAGATTTTTTTACCCATGAAGAAACTTTGATAAAGCGTTCAGTTGTGTAGATCATGTGTCGGTGATGTGATGGATTCCTCCTTCGAAGAAATAATACTATTATAGGTACGAACATGTATCGTTCTATATCGATCACAGTGGGCCCATACACGCACCGGACGCGGTGGAGTCCTCCGCGTGTGGGCATCCCATTTGCCCACGCGTCGCCACATCGTTGGCTCTGGGCTCCTATATAGTCTCGCGAGCCGGCCATTGGAGGAGTATCAAGTCCAGGAGTTCTCATTGGTGTGGATCAAAGTTCGTTGGGTTGAGAAAGTTCTTAGTAATCTTTGCTTCATAGTTTTTGCTCTCTAGTTTTTGTTTCACAATGTCGATGATGGAGAAGATCAGCGAGACGCTCCACATTGGCGGGCACAAGAAGGAGGAGGAGCACAAGAAGGAGGACAAGGCCCACGCCGCCGGCGAGCACAAAGGCCACGACCATCCGGCGGGGGTTCCTTGCTCCGGATCCGGGGCGGTGCCTCCTCCAGCGGCCGCGGGGTACAAGAAGGACGAGGAGCACAAGGCCGGGGAGGAGAAGAAGCACGAAGGGTTCATGGAGAAGATCAAGAAGAAGAAGAAGGACCGCAAGGAGCGCAAGGAAGGCGAGGGCAAGGGCAGCAGCAGCAGCAGCAGCGATTCGGACTAGAGATTGTTTGTGATCTTTAGTCCCGTGAGCACAAGAATTGCTACTATTGCTCCTTGCTCGTGGGTGTTTTGGTTTGATCTGTGTACAAAATGGATAAAAAGGAAGAAAACCTCTGTTTTGTTTGATATCCCATCCAGTGGTTTGAAGAGGATCGAGACCATTTGATCCGAGAGCTCTGTACCGGATAGGAAGAGATCTACTATTGTTTGCACAAGCGATTGGACCCACCTCCTCCAAAAAGTGATTGTTCAGTTCTATCTGATCTGTGGATAACTTATTGTCCCGGCTTGTGCAATTCGGACAGCAAAACCAGAGTCCCGGACGAACTAACTCGCGCAGACGCTGACGATGGCGACGACCCGTCCGCCCAGAAAAGCTTTGGATCGATCATCTCATCTCCAGTGCTTCCACGCAATCGCATTCGATGGTTCTTGCAAGCGCCCAAGAACGCCGTCCACGCGACGCGAGTCGGCTCAAACGGCATCGTCTCCAGTAGCTCCTCCGCGCGTTTCAGCTGCCCTCCGCGAGCAAGCATGTCAACCACAATGCAGTAGTGCTCCAGGTTGGCCGACAAGCCCCTGTCTGCGATCATCGACAGGAAGTAACCCCTGCCGGCTTTGATCCAGCCGGCGTGGCTGCATGCCATGAGCACGCTCACCATCGTCATCTCCTCCGCCTCCACCCCGTCCATTTGCATCGAGCAGACGAGCTCGAGTGCGTCGCGGTAGCAGCCATTGAGCGCGCACGCGTTGATGATCGCGTTCCACAGGGGCAGCTCCTCCGCTCCAAGCTGCAGCGCGTCGAAAATCCTCCTCGCACGATCGACCATCCCGTTCTGCGAGCAGCAGGCGATGATCGAACACCAGGTGATGGCGTCCCTCTCCGGCATGAGCTCGTGGATGAATCTCAACGCGGAGTAAATTTGCCCCGCATGGGCAAATGCTGAGGCCATTGCCGTCCACGAGACAAGATCCCTCCTTGGCATTTTCTCAAACAAATCCTCCGCTTCATTCACTCTCGAGAACCTCGCATACGCAGCGATCATCGCGTTGCATGCCACCAGATCCTTCTCTCGCATGGAATCGAACACTACGCGCGCGTACTCCAGATCCCCGCCTTGGGTAAATGCGGTAAGCATGATCGTCCATGTCACGACGCTCTTCTCCGCCTCGGCCATCATCTCAAACAGCGCTCTCGCCTCCCGCAGCTCGCCATAGTCGACGTATCCCGCAATCACAGCATTCCACGCCATGGGCAGGCGATTGGGCATCCGATCCAGCAGCGCCCTCGCCTCCGCCAATCGCCCAACACGACTCAGCGCCGCGATCACGATCGTCCAGGACGCCGCGTCGCGCACTGGCATCGAATCAAAGAGCTTCTTTGCATCGTCCAGAAGCCCATTGTGGGCGAATCCCCACATCATCGTGTTCCACACGATCTTGCTCCACTCGGGCATTTTGTCAAACAATCTCTTGGCCTCGCCGATTTCCCTGTTGTCAGCGTGGGAGAGAATCATAGCCGTCCACGTCACGGTATCTCTCTGGGGCATCTTGTCAAAGATTCCCCTCGCGTTGGCGGTATCCCCTCTCTGGGTATATGCCGTGACAAGCGTTGTCCACGACACTACGTTGGGCTCTGGCATCTCGTTAAAGATCCGGTGTGTCGATTCCAGATCCCCTTCCCGAGAATATGTCGACATCATGGCATTCCACGACGTGGCATTGCGCTCGGGCATGGAATAAAACATGCGCTTGCTCTCTCGAAGATTCCCAGCCTGGGAATATGCTGCTATCATGCTGTTCCACGAGGCCACATCGCGCTCGTCCATCGAATCAAACAGCTGACGTGCCTCGACAATCCGACCGTTCTGCGCAAATGCAGCAACCATGGCATTCCACGTCACCACGGTCTTGGCCGGCATCTTGTCAAAGATTCCCTTAGCCTCGTGCAGATGCCCAGTCTGGGCATATGCCGCCACCATGGCTGTGGACGCGACGATGGAATATGCCTGGGGCATTGCATCAAAGGCCCGCCTCGCTTCTTTCAGAAACCCATTTCTAGCGTAAGCTCCGATGATCATGTTCCAGGAGAATACATTGGGCTGAGAGATGGAGTCGAAAGTTCGTCTCGCGTCCACGACACTGCCAATCTTGCCATAGACTTCGATGAAGAGATTGGAGAGGTACCTGTCGTGGCGGAAGTGAGTTGCCTGGACGCGGGAGTGGAGGAGTCGCGCATCCGCGAGATCGCCACAGCCGCGGATCGACGCTGCCAGAGCTCTCTGCCGCTCATCTCGTTCGGCAAAGTCTTGGAGCGCGACCGCCTTGGCTTGATCTCCATGAGTTGCCATTCCATGACTACACGAACTTTAAAACTTTCCACTCCCGGGACTACACACGCAAAAACGTTTGGTTAGCGCCAAGATAAAGAACTTCCATAGCTTTTGTGTTCTATACCTCGTTCTAGCAGCTGCTTTGTAAGCTCCCATCCAAGCTTGGAGAAACGAAGACACGAAAACAAACGTCTCAGTACCAGAATCCAGAACCACGAAGCCTATCGACAAACAGGCAAGACCACGAATGCAAGCCCAAGATCTAGAAACTAAGAACGTAAGTTAAAGAGTTCTCCAAACAATCACGCCACCGGACTAGCGAGGTGGAGAGAGCTAGAAAGATGGACAAGCGAGAAAGGGAGGAGTTAACAAACATGGTATCCTAGCTGCGTATCTCGCCGTCTTCGCCGACCTCCCCGTCCTCCAGTTCCTCGGTGCTCCGCCGCTCCCGCTTTTGCCGTTTCGGCTTGGCCTCGGCATCAGAATCAGAGTCATGGCCATGCTGGCGAAGAAGCGAAAGTTAGAGACTGAAAGTTCCTGGAAAATAACCGACGCTTACCCTCCTTGAAGATCGTCTGTGCTCGTGTCCATGCTTCCGGGATTTCCTAGCCTCGTCCCTGTCATCTCTGTCGGATCCATCGTCGCTGCTTGCGCTCCTGTGACGCCTTCTGTGCCTTTTTTCTTTGTCACGGTCCCTGTCCTTGTCCTTCTTCTTTTCTTCTTTACTGAGCGCTGGTTCACCATCCTCGTTACGATCCTTCTTGCTGCTCTTGTCTTTCTTCCGCTCCTTATCTTTGTCGTCTTTACTGTCTTTATCTTTGTCCTTCTGGAACGAGGGCAATTGAGTCCAGCATTACCAAGGATACCTTATGCACATACCTTTTCCTCCTTCTCTCGCTTGCGATCTTTTTCCTTGAGTTTCTGTTGCAAATGAGCTACGTGCTCATCGAAAAGCTTTCTCAGCACCACCTCGTCATCAATAGCCCTGCAGTACAACTCGAAACCGGTAAATAATTTGAGAAGATTCTACACGTACCTAAACTCCACCGTCTCCTGTAGCAACGGTTTGGACTCTTCCCAGTTAGATGTAGCCGTTATTGTCTGCAAGAAAATTTCATTAACTTTCCCAGCCAATCTATCACCGGAAACCTTGTTTGATCGGAGTAGAGTAGAGAACTCCTCAGCTAAGCGTCGCCGTTTCTTAGCCTCCTTTTCTTCTTTCTCCTTTAGTCGTTCGAGAGCGTCTTCAAAAGCTAGCTGTTTTGCGTGTTTGTGTCAGAAAAGGAGAGAAAGACTGGAAAGTTACTCACCTTTATATGCAGTTCAGATATCGCCGTCAAGTCACCTGCCTCGGCTAGTGCAGCCTTGAAATCGTCGTAAGTGGTTGTCGGTACCACCGTAATCTACAGATGATAATTGATAAATACAAATTACTATAAAAAGAAGCGTGCTACCTTTCCGACCTTCATGATTTCTTTGATCTTGGCCTTGTCTTCGAGATACTGTTCAAAAGAAAACGTTTCATTACAAACTAAGATGGACATTCTGACTAACCAGCTTGTCAAGCTCCTCCAGGACATCCATAAAAAGTTCCTTCGGTGTCGAACCCGACAGATTAGTACATATTGCCTGATAAGCAGGATGCTCTTTGATCTGCGAAGAAATCGTCAAATGTTAAACTGACGCAAATTTCTTTTACCTTAGCTAAGTAGTCTCGCCATGGGCACCTTGCAACCAATATTCCTGCTGCTTTGTGAGATTCCAAGAGACTTCTAAACTCGTCCCGATTCTTACGCTCTTTCCGGCGTATTTGTTCCTGCGGAAAAGCCAACATTATTGTCAGAAGCTAAAGAAAATAATCTCTATCCCAACCTTTTGCATTTTCTTTTCTTCTTCCTCTTCCTTTTCCAAATCACGAATATATTCCTTCAAAATTCACAAGTTCGTGTTAGTTTGCACTTAAAAAAATGTAGCGAGAACCTGAAAGACTTCTAAGCGGTCCATTTTATCTAATCGGCTCCAGCGCTCGTCGTCATCGAGTTTATCCTGAATTTTCCTCCAATGGGAATTTACCTATACATACAGTGAGTAAGAGGATTAAAGCACCACTACAAATACCTTAATAAAATCACAGGACTCGAGGTAACTTCTGAAGTCCGCGCGACTTTTCTTTTTCTCCTCCCGAGCCTTGTCTCGCTCCTGAAATTCAAATGTCAAATAAAAAACGAAAGAAAATTCAATGAAAAATTTACTTTGCGCTCCAGGTCCAGCAAATAGTCGTCAAAAAGATCTTCACGCTCTCGCTCTTTATCCACGGCATGAAAACGTGGGTCACTTTCAAAAAGAGATACGACCTTGCTGTAGAAATAAAACGTTATGTAAAACAAAGCAACCAATTAAATCTCCTGACCTCCAACGCATGGCTGATGTCAACTCCTTGGATTCCTAAGCAGACACAAATTGTTGCCGAGGCAAAACATGTAAGCTGACAGATACCAGAGCAACAAAACTTACTTCCAACATCTTTATAAAATCTTCACGTGCTTTCTTTTGTTTTAAACGCTTTTCTTCAAGATCCAACTTTTTTCTTTGCGCAAGATACTGCGAGATGGCAGAATAAAACAGTTTGATACAATCTACAAAATTTAAGGTTACCTCGTTGAAAGCTTGCTTGCGTTCACCTAAAGATTTCAAGGCACCATACCGTTTGTCATTTATAATTACGCGCATAGCCTGAAATATAGTAAATGTTAAATTTCATGTTAGCGACGAAGAAAAAGTTATCAAACCTGATCCCACGTCCAATCGGATTGAACGTGCATGGCTTCCAAAAGTTCTTTAAAGGCGCTTTTTGCCTCCTGAATATGAAGTTAGAAGCAAGCTTGCAATCATTAGAGCGTACATTTTTTGTCGCATAAGAAATCAAAGGCTCCTCCGTGGAAAATGACTTTCCCTCTGAAACTGGAGCAATATTGATCTTACCAATCGATGGTAACGATTTTTTTGCTTCCTGAGGATACTCAAACCTCAGAATACATAAGAAACCGCATTTACTGCCTACCTCCAGATCCTGTTGTGTCTGTTGTGTCTCCTCGGTAGCCTCAGCAACGTCAGCGCCAGACCTACAGAACATCAGTGAGTTTTAACGGATACAAACCACCAAATGGACATACCCTGCAAGAGGCGCTGGAGACGGGGTTCCTGTAGCGGCAGGGGTGAGGGTCTGAGCTACAGGAGCTACAACAGGAGAAGAAGGAAGAGGAGAAGAAAGTAAAGGTGACGGTGCCGATATACCGGGAGCAGTTTCCATCTTAGCGACTCCCATATACCCCCTATCCGCCTGCTCGCGAGCTACCTGCACAAAACAACAATGTAAAACGCAAAGGCTGAAAGTCTGAGACATACTCTCATTTCCTCGGGCATTGTCCATGTAGACTGCCTCGTCAACTTGTTGTAATAATATCTAGAAATCGAAGTGCTCATCAGCATTGAAATATGCAAGAAAACCTCATTAACTTACTTTCTGCTATCAGCAGTCACGAACTCTTTCCAAACAGTTGAAGCATCAGCTCGCTAAAAGGGAAACACACAAACGTAAGTCCCTGAGAGAAAAAAACTCAAGAAAAACTTAACCTCGGTCGGAGTCATCAACTCGTCTGGCTTTTCCCAGCTCGACTGCTTAGTCCGCTTATTGTAATAATACCTTCAGGGCAAGAAACCAAAACCATGAGTAAAAAGGCCGAGAACTCAAACATTTAAAGACCAACCTTCTCCCGTCAGGAGAAAAATGCTCCTGCCATTCAGAAGCTCTCTGTAGCAGCACCGATAAAAGCAGAAGCAAAAAACAAATCAGCACTCGCACTAAAGTAGCGGGGATCAAAGAAAAACTTACGGATCCTGGAGGTGGTACGCCCGAATGCAGACCTTGTGCCATACCATTGTTAGTTTGTCCTGCGTTTACTGGATAAGACTGAAGAAGCTGACCCGGATTCCCGACCTGATAAGAGCCTGGATACGCATTGCCTTGTTGAGGAAAGGGAACGGCAGATCCATACTGCGAGAGCGAGCAAAAGAATAGAAAACAAAGGGAAGACATAAGATAAGAGAAAGAGCCAAGGCAAACAAAAAAAAAGCAAAGCATACATACCATTCCAGGAGGTCCTTGAGGAGGTCTCTGTGGCTGAGCGAAAGGACCAGAGGCCTGATTGGGACGCATTTGCATTGGGGGAGGATAGGCAGCTTGCGAAGACATGGGGGGCGGGACGTTGCTCATCTTCTCGGCTCACAGCATTGGCTGCAAGCAATCCAAGGACGCGGACGGAAACCTAAGCTCCAGAGAGAGATCTCTAGGCGCGGCGCGAGTCGCAATACACACCTGGAGATTCATAGCGCCCGCCCCAGCTGCCCAGCGCCTACGCCGATCATGCTCCTCTTCGCGCGACTGATCTCTCGAGAAAATTAGGGCTCCTGCTCTATTCCTTAGTATATTCCCCTTTCTTCTTCCAATAGATTTTTTAAAGCTGGACACACACAAAGAAATCTAAAGAGAGTGGAGACTCTTTCCCGCGCCAAAACTGCTGTGTTCTAGATCGCGCCAGCACAGTGCTACAAACTAAAAGAGTCTTCGAAACAAAAAAGCCTGGCAAAACTGTGAGGAGCTCATACTCAAAACTCAAAACGATCGATCGATGGTTCTCTCCTTTTTTTTTTCTTCCTTTTTGCTTGTCGTCGGCTGGGGTGCTCTAAGCCACTGGAACCTCCGCGAGGGGCGAGGATGGAACCGTGGAGGCCTTGGAGTGCTGCTGTAGCACCTGGACGGCTTCGTCCACCTTGGAGGCCAGAGCCTCGGGAGTCTCCAGCAGCACAAGCAGCTCCGAGTTGTCCATCTCCAGCAGCATTCCAGTGATCTTGCCCGCAAGATCAAACTGCCACCATCAAAGCAAAACCTGTGAGCTCCGTGAAACTAAAAAGCAAGAGATGGTACCTGGTGTGTCCGGACGAGAGGGAAGAGACGCTCTCCCAGTAGCTGCTTTTGCTGCTGTGGAGAGGCCGCCGACATCATGCTAAGAACGTCGTTTCCACCCATGGGCATGTTTCCAGGGACCATGAGCACCGGCCCGCCCGCTGCTGCTCCATCCCGAGGCCTGCCATTGTTGACATATTTCATAGCCTGCCGTGGTCGTTGCTGCATAAAAGATTTAGAGCTTGAAAGATACACACACACACTACCACTCCACAGAAAAAAGAGAAACAGTACCTGTTGGTTTCTTCCGTTTTCTTTGTAGCCGCCAGGCTGAATGGCTTGCGGCTGTGGAATCTGCAGCTGTGGTATTTGCGCAAGCGGTTGTCCCCCTGGAGGCCGGTTCCTAACCTGTCTCTGCTGCCTCTGCGCGTTAGGAACCTGCATTACACCAACAATGTAAGAAGAGATGCTTAAAGGGACTCCTTTTTTATTTCTTACCAAAGCATACGGTGGCAAAGGTTGCAGTGATGGCCTTCCTGGTGGGGCTAGCGGACCAGTCCTCCATCCGGGCCTCATGACAGGCTGATACATGAGGCCTTGCCTTTGAGGCACCTGTGGCAAGAGCGCAGGAGGGGCAGCGTAGTAGACTGGAGGATAGGCAGCTGCAACTTGAGCACCGGGTGGAGGCATCAAGCCGCTCATGCGCTGAGCATACTGCTGCTGAAGCTGAGCTTGCCTTATCTCCTTGCGCTGGGCCATAGCAACATATATCGGCTTTCCATTGATCATAAGGCCTGTAAGATCACAATCACATTCAGTAAAGTTAAGAGGACAGAAACATACCGTTTGTCTCTGTGGCTGCCCTTGAAGCTTCTTCTGGCGACGTGAAGCACACAAAACCGAAGCCCTTGCTGATGCCCTTCTCATCGCGCATTACTTTTGCTGACGTGATGTTGCCATAGCGAGAGAACTCCTGCTTTAGAGTTTCATCGTCTATGGAATCATCGAGGTTTTTCACATATAAATTGGCTCCCTAAAAGCAAAGCACGTAAGCCTTTAATGAAGCATCGTAGAAGCAGAAAAACAATGAAAAACCTGATACTTCTGGAACTGTTCCATCCGTTTCTCTTCGAATTGTCGGCGAAGTATCTGCTCACGTTCCGCCTTCTTCTGCGCCCTTCCGACGTATATTGTTCTGGATCCTGCCGAGCAAAAATGTTAAAATGCACCTCAAAGGCCAAGAAGGCTTACCAAGTTGGCTATTGTTCATCGTTTCAACCGCTGCCCTTGCAGCCTCCGGATCGTCAAAATTCACGAAGCCAAAACCCTTAGACTTGTCGTTCTCGTCTTTCATTATGACCACGTTGGTAATGACTCCAAAAGTCGAGAAATGCTCATTGATCTCTTCTTCCGCCATTTCCGGGTCAAGGTTCTTGACGAAAACATTCGTGAACTTGGTCTCGCCGGTTGCTGCAAGCCTGTCACTCCGCTTCACGAACTTGGCCACGAACCTGAAAAACAAAACCCGGTCAGAAGAAGATGAATGGCGAGCCTCACAGAAAACTCACACTTTCTTTCCGACCAGCTGCATCCCATTGACCTTCTCGATTGCGAGGTTTGCAGCTTCGTCCGTTTCAAAGTGGACAAAACCATACCCCTTGCTTCTTCCATCTTGATGAGCAATCTTGCAGGACAGAATCGGGCCAAAGGCAATGAAAGTATCGTGGAGAGCCTTGTTGTCGATGGACTCGTCAAGGTTCTACTCACAGACCATGAGTTAGCAAAGCATCCATGGCTTTAGTGAAAAAAGCCTTACCTTGATAAAGATGTTCCCCACGCCACTCTTGCGCGTACTCGGGTCCCTGTGAGACCACATTATCCTGATGGTCTTCCCATTGATGGGTGTGTAATTCAAAGCCTCCATAGCTCGCACCGCTGAGCATTCAAAGAGACGACGATTCTAAGCGAGGAGAAACCAAAAAGGAACAAGAGAGCACTCACCATCGGCGCCAGAAGAGTAGTTCACATATCCATAGCCAAGGGACCTCCTCGTCACGGCATCGCGGCAGACGCGCACAGAGGTAACCAGGCCCATCTGGGAGAAAATGGTGAAGAGCTGAGTCTCCGCCACAGTCTCGTCCAGATCTCCCACATAGAGCGAGACGCCGGAAGGAGCAGCCACACCTGGGACGGCAGGAGGAGGAGGCGGCGGCGGTGACGTATCCGCCGGCGCCGCGGCAGCAGCAGCAGGGGACGCCGTCGTCGCCGCCATCACGGCCGCCATGAGATGGATCGATCGATCGCCGCCAAGGGCCGGAGCCTAGCCTCTAGGGTTTTGAGGCAGCTAGAACTACAGTATAGTCTTCCCTCCACACTTGGTTTATCACTATAGCCCCGTAAGCGGCGGGCCGTGTCCGTTCCTCTGGCGGGACGAGATCTAGACCGTCGATCAACACATTCCGGAATCTTCGCGCGTGGAGGTACGTTTCCAAGGATCAAGGAATGAAGATGAAGCGCGACACGACGACCGATGACAAAGAAAAAAGAAGAAAGTTTAGAAAGGAAGGATTTTTTTTGCTCTTCGTTTGATTACTGTGGAGGATACGAACTTCCAGTGTCAGCAAGGAGGAAAAACGAAAATTCTGGTGACGAACCTTTACACAGCTTCTCCAAGTAGAGCATCCATTTCGTCGATTTCTTCCGCTTCTTCTGCCGTGGTTGGCTCCTCCTTGACGGTTCTCGAAGTCAAGAATGCCAGTGCTGCCTCCTCAGTGACATCGCTGTTTGGAAAACTTTCGTGGATGAACGCACAAAAGAAGGAAAAAAAAAAACTGTACCTGTCTGAAACTTCTCCTTTGGAGATCAGTGTCAACTTTCTCTGGATCACTGCGTCCCAGAAGTCGCTCAAGCGCTTCCCTTGGCACTTGTCAGCTAGCACACGAAAGAAGTCGTTGAATTCTTTGGATTCCTGGAGAAAACAAGAGTTTAGCTCCGAAAATGTTGCAGACTGCTTGCTTACCTCTTGCATCACGCAACCACTTCGGAGAGCGGCTAAGCAAGTCAGTGCTTTGTCGTAAGTGTTCCCTTTGTACGAGGAATCCAAGAGATCGATGATGATTTTCTTCATTCCTTGTATAGCTTTCCCGACCCACTCATCACTGTCCCGACGAGCTAGTAGCGTTTGGAAGTCCTGGACTGGGTTTAAGCTTCCAACTTCCTCGACCTGACGTGTGGCAAAACTGTCGAACGAGAGACCACTGCCCGAGGTATCCACATCCGGCTTTGCTTCCGCATCATCGTCTTTAGCAGCGGCTTCGATTCTGTCTTTCCAAAACTTTGTCGAGTTTTTAGTTTTCTGCGCATACCACCCGACTGAGAAAAACGAGGGAGACAGAAGCACAGTGCCTCACCTGCACGTTCACCAATGTAAATTGGCTACAAAGTCCTTGAAGTTTTTCAATATGCTCCGATGAAAAATCTGGTTCTATGACTTTCTTCAGAGTTTCGTCTAATTGAGGTACCGATGCGTCTGGGTTTAGTGATTTCAAATAGAGAAAGTGGTAGAATCGCTGCATGCAATCATAAAATAAGTCAGGGAGCTTGAAACTCCTTTATATTGGTCTACCTGTAAAACTGGATTGCTCGTTTTCTCGGGTTGTAGGGACTCGACGCTGTCTGAGGGCGAAAGGTCGAGCATCTGAACTAGTAAATCAGTAGCTTCTTCTTGTTGCTTTGAAGGCAACTGGGACGCAGGTCGGTCATCAAATGATGCAAAGCCAAACTCACGAATATCTTCGGCAAATGGCACGATGTTGAAATAGAAAGAATCTGCCTACAAATCGCAACACCGGGTAAAATCCTGCTGAAGGACAATGACAAAAACTTACGATGCCATCTTCGAAGGATAGATTTGGTGTCAAAACTCCCATCACAACATTTCGTTGTCCTTGTCTCCAAACACACCGGACTAAGGCCACCATGTTCGTTTGTTTCAGAGCTCGTGCAAGAGCGGACATTGCAAGAGAAGCTTTACGATTGCCAGGCTCCGGAACAAAAAGATTCGGCTCCTTCATATAGTAGTGCCTACGTTCGCACAGTTAAAATCTCGTACGAAAGGGAAAGAAAAATCCATTACCTTGGAATATTGGCAGCTTCTGTGAATCCTAGGAGCTTTACTCCTTTGTCAGCAGTGAACTTGAGTGACAGTTCCATGTCTGGGGTCACAGGGATAAGCTGCTGACCATAGTAGTAACCCTTTGCTCGTTGTGCTTTCGGAATGGACACTGTCGGGTCGTCACTGCTTTTGTAATCAGTATCCATTTTCACAACGTGAGTCGCAAGCGCATCACTTTGGGGTGCTTTGTCTGAGTAAACCTTAAGACTAGGAACTCTTTCTTGTGCGGCTTTCTTGTAAACCCAAACCTGGAGAAGCAGAAAAAAAGAAAAAATAAAAATTAGAACAAAACACAGTGAAACACCCAGTACCTTAATTCGTGCACCTGGTGTCATCTCCATATCTCCTCGGTAGAGCGTCGTGGGAGTTACTGTGCGAGGCTTTAGAGCTCCAAACAAGCACAGAGGACTTTCCACGGTTGTGACTTCTCCGTGCGTCCGAGACGCTAAATTCTCTAGAATCTCCGTGCTCTCCGAGCCGCTTTCACGCTTTTCCTCGTTCATTCTGAGTATAGCCGCGTCGAACCTCACTCCATGGTCTTCCATTTTCTCTGCGATTTTCTCAACCTGTTCCATCATACTCATACCTTCCATTGGCTCTTTTATCGGCGACTGGGCATCGGTTATAAGGCAGATCCGCTTGTTTCCTTTCTTTCCATCTCCATACTTTTTGAAGATCATATCTGTGGCAACAACGATGGCATCGACATCTGTAGTGGTGCTTGTTAAGAAGAACGGAAGTATCAAAGAAACGATCACATAAAAAAAGGATACAGTCTCCTGCGTAGCATCCCCGGGGAAGCGCTCGCAGCTTCGTCACCAGCTCACCATCGACAAGCGTAATCGGTTCGCTCACAATGCCTTCGTATGCTTCCCCGACTTCTCGTCTAAGATCGTTATCAGTCTCTGAGAAGAGAAAGCAAACCTTCTCAAGATTTTCTAGGAAGATCCTTAAAGGTTACCTTCCATGCCAAAGAGAACAAGTCCCACCTCATCGTTTTTGTGATTGAATAACTGGAAAGAAAAAAATTCAAGGAAGAATGAGCAAAAAATTCTCATGGAAACTTACCTTCCTTTCCAGCACAGCTGCCGTAGCTTTAGAAACGTGATGAAGATAGGGATGCATCGACGGAGACACATCGAGAACAAAAACTAGCGATTCCTGAGCCAATAAGCGATCGCTATCACAAATGTAAGCTAGAAACGACGCAAGAACAATCGGAGCTACCGATCGAGGAAGAACGCACCTTGCTCCGGGCCATAGAATTCGCGCCTTCGAGATTTAGGGTTTTTCAAAACCTTGAAGAGGAAGTTTAGCTCAACAAGGGGCCGATCCCAGCCGTTGGCTCCAGTGCCACATCCGGGCCGTCAAACACTTATTTCTTTCAAAACTTCGGTTTCTTCTTCGCGCGTTCTTGTGGCTTCTTCAGGGCTTGAAGATCTGAGCGAGCTTCTCAGCGCTTCCCTTGCAACCATCCGCGAGCTTGTTCGTGTTCTTGGCTACCAGCGCCGAGATCTCGGACGCCATCGACGCAGCAGCGCTCTGAGCCTCGCCGGCGCGTTTCCTCACCACGAAGAAAGTGTTATCTCGGACTTCTCCGGCCTTCCTCGCGATCTTTTCCATGGACTCCAGCATCCTCTGCTGCGCCACGCTCAGCCTCTGGTTGGAAGTTTGCATCGCTTCTCTCAGGAACTGCAAGCTCCTCCCTTTGAACTCGTCGGCTTTCACCAGGATGCCGTGCATTGGAGGTTTTGCCTGCTGCGACGTGTCCTGGAGCTCGAGCTTCTCGAACTGCCAGCTTGGGACCGGGATGTTGCTGTCGTCCAGATCCTTGTCAACGTGGACCTCAATCCCTTGAGACTCCCATCTCTTTCGCGCTTCCTCTAGAACTTTAGCGTGAGCCATTGCCTTCTTTGCTTCTTCCTCGGCCCAAGTTCTGCCCAAAGAAACCATCCAACTCGCTTAGAACGAGGAACAAAAAAAGAGGGAAAGTTTACCTTGCAAGGACGAGAGCTTTCTTTTCTACTTGGGTCTCCGACTTCACATTCTCCAGCGTATCCCGCTCTTCTTCAATCTCGGCCAGAAGCTTCTCCATTCTGTCCCGCTCAAACACCACCTTTACTTTTTCCGAAGACAACCCTTGCAGAAGGTCATCAACCTCAAGCCGTGCTCGAGACAGAGCTTCCTTTGCAGCGTCCAACGAGGCTCTTTCCTTCATTACGCCGTACTTTTCTTCTTCTCTTTCACTTTTCAGCTTCTCCAGCTCTTCCCTCAATCTCTCGGCCACTGCCTCAGCTTCGACCGTCAACTGCCTCTGTCGATCCAATTCTTCACGAAAAACAGCATTCGCTTCTTTCTGTGCACGAGCCTCTAGTGCTATCTCAGCAGCCACCGCCTTTTCCGCATGTCTTTCAGCTTCTAGACGCTCAAGCTCCTCGCCGATATGCTCTGATGCCTCACCAGATGACAGTGCAACCGCTGCCTGGCCCGTAGTAACGGGTTTATGTGGTTGAAACAGCCTCGTGTATCCTGCCAAAACATGTCAAACCAGAAATGGAAATAGTTTTAGCCGAAGTACCGAATGCAGACGATATAATGCTTCGGTCGCCCGCAGCAACATCCGCTGCAATAGCAGGCCAAACATCCGTATGAATGTTATCAATGTCGATGAACCTTTCTTGCAATTTCTGCAAGTAATATCAACATCAAACAAGTAGCCTTCTTGAGCTCAAAAACAAACTTACATTTCGATTTGCGACCGGAAGACTATGATTTTCCACGGCAAACTTCCAGCTTATAAGATCTTGACGTGACAATGGACTGCAAAAACTTGCACGCATTAAAACATGTGCTGGTGGCCCGTGCAACAGCATTACCGGTCAGGAAGAAAATGGATCGGGCCATCACTATCTGGACCCCGTGATAGCTTACTGAAAATAAGCCCTGCCTCCGCCAGGCCTGCTCAAACGTCCACTGTCAAACGAGCGTCTGGTATGAAGAAACTGTAACCTTGTATGAATGGAAAATCCGGATCCTCAGGCGAAACATCGTCGAACGCAGCTTCTGTAACTTTTTCGATATACATTGCAGGAGAGACTTTAGCACCCGTATTTCTGTGAGATATATACGTGAGAACTTAAAGAACTGAAAAGCTGGACAGAATACCTTGCCAAGGTTCGATTTGCAGCAACAAGCCAGCGAGCGTACTCTCTTCGGGTACAGATAGTAGACGCTCCAACTCCTGGCTCCACAACCTGCACGAACGAAAATGAATAAAAACAAAAACAAAACAAGAAGAAGCAACGCACCTTAAGAGATTGTAGCGCAGAGAGGGCCTGTTCTTGGCCATGATCTACGACAGGTGCGATCAATACACGTCCTGATGGCAATGCAGAAGGCGCAGATGGAGCAGGTATGACAATTTGCCAAAATTCAGACTCCGATGAAGGGGAAACTTTATCTAGCGAAGACGTGATCCTACTGATTTCATCCTCCTGGGATAAAACCATATCAGCTGCATTCTCCACGGGTGTTGCTCCAACCTCGGAGGAAGAGAAAGGCTCATCCTGCTCACTCACACTCAAACCGGGAGACGCAGTCACCGACTCAACCAGCTCAACCTCCCTGTCTGACTCCTGAGGTAACGGTACCTCGGCACCATGAACAGCAGTGTTAGAGTCCTCGGTTAGATCCACAGAGGCCAACAAGACGTCGGGCTTCTCCGATGCTACGACGACTTCGTCCTCGGACGGCAAGGCAACCGGGGCAGACGACTCACTGGAAACGCTCTCTGGTTCTTCAGGACTGCTACTCTCGACTGAGTACGTGGAATCGGCTGTTCCGGCACTCGACTCGGGTGTGGCATCTGAGTCGGGAGACTTCAGATCATCGGAGACTGAATCGACGGCTAAGTCAGTAGCAGGGGTTGACAAATCCTCTCCAGACTCTGTGTCAGTACGGGATAGCTCTTCGCCGGTATTCTCGTAACCAAAGGTTGAAGCAGCACCACCAGATGCAGGAGAACTGACCACCCCAGCCTCACTATCTTCAATCGTGTCACTTGGAAAAGAAACCTGACCTGTGGTTGTATCGGGTTGATGCGGAGTAGCCACAGGAGCATCCGCGGCAACCTCTTGCTCCTCTTCCTCCTCCGCATTCTCAGTCGATTGGACATCCACTGGGCTTTCCTCCTCATCCTCGACTTCCTGAGCAGCCCCAGCCTCCTTGACCTTAGTCGATTCTGTCACATATGTTTCCTCGTAAGCCGGGGGTGGTGGTACAAGATCCACCTTGCTTCCTACACCTGCAAGTTCGAATCCATTACGATGAGAAAAGCATGAGGAAAACGAAATGAACCAACCTCTCTTCCAACACGCATTGGACACCAACGCAAAACCAACGGCGAGAGCAACGCCTGCTCCTACTTGCAAAAATCCTGCGCGAAAAGAATCAATGTAAGCATCGCATGCACAGGAAATAGAGAAAAAGGTACCTGAAAGCTTCTTTCGCTTGCCATTATCCAGAAAAGACCATCCGGCATAGGAATCCTTCCCTGGCTCCTGTGCCCACGAAGAAGAAGAGGTGCTCGGCCCATCGTCGCCGCTGGACTGCGCACAGCAGTAAATGCAAGGTAGCCTAGTGCATCTCCTGGATGGATTCGCGGATAGCGATGTTGCATGCTGGTGCTGGCATCCTAGATACAATTTCGCCGGCAGCAAGGAAGGTAATCCGGGGAGAGCTACCGCCATATTTCGGAAAGGAAGAGGAGGAATCGGGTGGAAAGAGGAAACGGGAGCTCGAGCGAGCTACAAACACATCTGCGAGCGCCGCGCACCGGCAATTCAGTCGCGGCGATGCAAGAAGGGAGGGAGACTCACCGGATCTAAGCCAGCGCCTTGGTCGATCGAGAGCTCCTCTCTCAAACCCCTGCACAAACCCTAGGAACTGTACACAAAATGCCACATGTTGGTGACGTGGCTGGCCAAGCTGGCACGTTTAAAACGACCATCGCCTTTCGTGTGGCGCCTGGTTCGCTACTTGTCCAAAGCCTGCGCTCTCCAGGTAGCAGATTGGCCTACTTTAAATTTTTTTCATGCTTTCTTCGAGAAAATCGCGTGCTTGCTTCTCTTGTCCCATTGTCTTTGAGTTTTTGTTTAGCTTTGATATGGTAGTCACGATGAAATAGATAGAATGAATACTTTTGATCGATCGAGCTTATATGGTGAATTCGTTTCGCTCAAATGGTGATCTCCTTTGATCGATCGAGCTCAAAACCGGATAACAAAGAGAAAGGTTTTTGGTTTTAAACAAAAGACAGAGAAACACATACCAGGATGAGATACTGCGATTCATCAGCTAAGAACTTTGCTCGTCACCATGGACTAGCAAAACTCAATGCCAAAATCGATGAAATCAAACACGGGATCAGCTCGATCGAAGTTTTCATCCGCAGTATATCTCCATACCAAAGACGAAGGACAAGAAAGGAAAGAGTGCTACATACACGCTCTTGGTGACAATGCAAGTCATCCCGGCAGCTTTGGCAGCTTTGGCAGCTTGGAGGCCAATCCTACTGTCCTCGATGACCACGCAACTGGATCAAACATCAACGAAGTTTATCCAAATATCAAGAAAAAACAAATCTTCGAGGAAGTGGAAGAAATGGTCGCTCTGGCGGCCAAAGGCTCGACTTTGGTGAGGTGGTGAGCATCACTCGGACACAGCCGAGAGCCGTTGCCTTTGCTATCCGCTCAAATCGTCGATGAAGGAGAAAGCCGTGAAGTCGAGATCGAGCTCGCTAACTTCGATGTCAGCATGATCTATGGAAGAAGAAGAAGATTAAACCAGCAAGATAGTTTCTGTCAACAGCATGAAGCCAGCATGACTGTTGCGAGTTTTTCGAGCTGGACTCGAAACAAACCCAGTGAACAATCGCAGAGTTCATCGAACAACGAGTAAAACAACTTTAGCTATTTCTTTTGCAAGCTTCCAGTCCAAAGTTCTTACCCTTCCTCTATTTCCAGGCCCAGAGAGTGATAGTTCCACACCTCTAGGAAGGCAGCTAGCTTTTCCTTTGCATCTACCAAAACATGTCCTCCTTGCTTCGCATGAAGCCCGCACAGCTTGCAAACTCCACAACTTGTCCAAGGGGGAACCGAAACTCATTCCGGATGTTCGTGGGCAAATCCGGCACACCCTTGAATATCGTATCCGTGGATGCCACAAAGCACTCGTGCCCTTCCAGCCGACTATACTCTCTGAGCTCTCCGGCATATCCGATGCATGCCTGAAACCACACTCCCCGACTCCCCTCGTCGTAGTTGACGCTCAAGCCGGCAGCCAGCGTCACCGTGTCCAGCTTCATGATCTCCCTCACGTTTTCCTTGAGCTTGTCGAAGGATTCATTGTAGAAGGCCACCTCCACAACCACGATAGGAATCTCCATGGAGCTGACCTCGGGCTTCCTCGTGTAGAGGACGTTGTCCACCATCTTCTTCGTGCCGTTTGGGAGGCTCAAGAGCATGTTTGTCCAGTGGCAAACTGTCTTGAAAGTCGGGATGCCCATGTTGAACACCTCGTCTTGAAGAACAGCAGAGACCCAACCCTTGATCGATGCGTGCACGCCGGTGTTGTCGCCGCAGATGCTCACCACGCCTCCGCGAGGGTCATACTGTAACCCGTAGCGCCTGACCACATCATCATCCACTAACCTCTCGTATTCTTCCGCTTCCACTCCAGACGCGCAGTGAAAGGGGCCTCTCTTGTAGAGAGCCAGGTCCCTCTTCTTCGAATAGATCCTGCCATGCGTAGTCTTGCAAGCTCTCAACAGCTTCTTCGAGGCGCTCATAGTCCCTTTCGTCTTACTTATAGGCTAGGGTTTCTCACATCTGTTTTTAACTATCAATTGATCCATTGCCAGTGCGCTCCGCAAACCTAAACTCCGAGACTCTGTCCATCCTCGTCGTAGCAAACGAGGTTGAGCTTCTTTTTTTCTCACCACTTTGCTAACTCGTGCACCAGATTGAGCCAGTTTGCGGTTTCAAGTCGAGTACTTGCGATTCCTGGTTCACGCCTCGCGTGGTTCACCTCTTCGGGATAACGTTTTTCTGTGCCGTTTTATACTGCTGGCGTTGCGGACGCTTGTCGAGAGTTCCAACTCCTAGGAGACGAGGCTAGACATGAGAGATGAAATGCTCTCTGGTAAGTCCATAGCTTTTGGAAGCATGGCTTTTTGTTTTTTGGAAGAAAGACCGGCTTTAATTCTTGAAATTCATGTCAGTGGAACCTTGAGGTGAGGATTTGCTGACTCGATGGCTGGCACTGGCACTAAGTTTCCTGTTTTTTTCTTTTTCCCCAGTTTGCTCCCCAAGAAAAAAAGCTTGCAAGATTCTGACCGTCTTGATCAGGTAGCTTGTTTTGAGACTTTGCGAGAGAAGTTGTCTAACGTTTTTCTTGTTTGGAAGCGCTCGTCCACGAACACAGCCGGCACCGGATGATTTGTTTTTCCTATCTCTCGGCAGGTAAGACATCCAAGCTGCGCGATACCAACAGCCGTCAGCACTTTGGCTACTCCGCTAGGAGCGAGTTCCATGTTTGTACAAGTTGAGGGCGTGAAACTCCTGACTCCCTTTGATATCTACACAGCAGTACATTCAGGTTCGTGATGCTGTGCTCTCCAATCAACGTAAATCCGTTTTGCTCGACAGGATCTCACCGATCTCATGGAACAGACACTGAAAAGAACCTCAAGCTGCCGAGCTCGTCCGAGAAGTATAAGCAGGAGGTGCTGTCCGGTAACTTGGATTGGACTCCACTCGGCTTTCAAAAGCTGAGGATCGACGCTGCGAAGTCGTGCATCAAAGTTCGGACGTAGCATTTGTTTGTCAACCGGAGAAAACAGCACCATTTGCTACCTCCACAGCTCGTAATAACCACTAGAAGAAGTAGAGGAAGAAAGCTCTAGCTTCCGACCGAAAGCTGTAAGAGAGTAGAAGCAAGTCTTTGGTGGGAGAGAAGGCAAAACACCTCGTTTGTGCGGCCGGGTCCTTGATGCAAATCATCTATGGCACAGAAGATGTCGACACCAAGCTGTTCCTTTGTATGCTCGATGACTGGTACCAAGTTATATCTTCTTTCCCCTAATAAGTAGAGCTCCCTTGTAGGACCCATCGCAAACCCATCGCTCACGCTCGCGAGAGGATGGAGCAAATCCACAAATACTTTAGCAAAAGACTAATAAAGACGCATTACGTTGTATACTAGAAAGAAACTGTAAGAGATCAAATAGATCAACTAGGCACTCGAATGCCAAGACATTCCTTGCAATAACAATATTAAGGTGCCGCATTCCCCGCACCAATCTCTCCCATATTACCTACACAAATGTATTAACAAAGATATTTATAAAATTGAATATATTACCAGTAGCAAAGTGATTTCTCTGGTACGCAAGACAGTGCCACGTGTTATAAGTTTATCCCCTTGGATGGATTTTAATTCCAATAGATCCTTAATAAAATAAATTGCTAATAACGCTTGGTTTTAGTGTTATTGTTACTTATTAATCCAATTCATCAAATAAATGATAAGATGATAAAATTAAAAATAATATGCTAGAAAGGGTTTAAGAAAGTTTATAAATTATAAATATGTTTATAAATTATAAATACAAAATTAATAAAAATGAATAATAACTGTTAGATGGTAAAATATCCTAGAATATTTAAGTATATTCTAAATATATTCACTACCATTCCACAGGTCTGGTTAAACAAACAAAAAATTATTAGTGGATAGTCAAATTTTAATATTAACTAACCTTTAGCTTTTACAAACCACTTCATCATTCTTGAGGTTACATTTGGCAAACGTTGGGAAATGGCCACCTCTGGTATTAATTGATCTTGGTGAGGGCTTACATCCCCTCCAAAAAGAAAAAATAAATAAATTTTACATTTTATAATATGTAAATCAAGAATTTATTTCCTAGTTAGATCATAATAAAACTTAATTGCTCAGGTCTATTATAATTCACATTTTATATCCATTAACAACCAATTTTATAATAAATGTTTACCTTAAATTTTAAGTTGAATTAATTTAGTTATAAAGCTTAAAAAATGACCTATTTATATTCTAAATTCACATGGGGTGAAACATTATTTAATAACTTCCTCCAACCTTTATTTGACACATTACTTGCAATAAAACCCCATTGGTAGTTATTATCTTTAATATACTTCAAGAGCAAGAGCAGTTGGAAGATAGAAGATAAAAGTTTGGCATATTTGACCTCTTAAAGTTGCATCCAATCTAGAGAATAAAACAAAGATCTAAAGCTCTTTGTCTAGAACATACCTTGGGAAGAACAAATCCAGCAAGGTAAAATGTGTCAAATGTGAGAGCTCCAGCAGAGTGGCGGAGCTTCTGAGATTGATTAAAATGTTCGCTCTAAAGTATTCAAGCATGCCACTGGACAGTTTTCTGAAACGAGGCTTGTATTTTGGGTGAAAAAGGTCATTTCTTGCTAGGAACTACACAGGATGGTGACGTGGCTGGCCACGCTGGCACGTAAAACGACCATCGCGCCTGGTTCGCTCCTTGTCTAACTCCAGTAGCAGATTGGCCTACTTTAATTTTATTGCACGTTCTTCGAGAAAATCGCGTGCTTGCTTAAGAAAAATGTCTTGTGCCATTGTCTTTGAATTTGTGCTTAGCTTTGATATGGTAGTCACGATCAAATAGATAGGAATGAATACGTTTGGTGGATCGAACTTATATGGTGAATTCACTTGCCTCATATGGTGAATTCCTTTGATCGAACGAGCTCATAACTGGATACCAAAGAGAAAGGTTTTTGGTTTTAAACAAAGGAACACATACCAGGACGAGATAATGCGATTCATCAGCTAAGAACTTTGCTCGTCACCAAGGACTCACAAAACTCAATGCCAAAATCGATGAAATCAAACACAGCATCAGCTCGATCGAAGTTTTCATCCGCAGTATATCTGGCGGAAGAGAAAACAAACATTTCTTGAGAAAACTTCCATACCAAAGACGAAGAACAAGAAAGAAAAGAGTGCTACATACACGCTCTTGGTGACAATGCAAGTCATCCCGGCAGCTTTGGCAGCTTGGAGGCCAATCCCACTGTCCTCGATGACCACGCAACTGCATCAAACATCAACGAAGTTTGTGCAAAAATCAAGAAACAAATCTCGTGATCGCGGAGAAAAGTTTTTGCAGCACCTCGAAGGCTCAACTTGGAAAGATGTAGCAGCCAAAGTGTAGATGGCCTGCGAGGCGAGACCAATCAGGAACACAACCACAGGGAAGAAAACATTCCAACACTGGATCTCTTAACTGGATCTGGTTTTTTGCGAGGGACTACATCGCCGGCGAAGATGGAAATGGATCTGGCTCTCAAAGGACCGAGCAAAACATTGACAATTGCCGAGACCTGTTGGCACAGAAATATTAATCGACCAAACAGTGTGCGTGATCTTACAGCTTTTTCGTTTGAGGTGCTACAAACGGCGACCTTGATGTTCTTCGCAAGTGCTTCGTCGACTAATCTGTGCAACCATAGCATCGATAGTTACAAAAGAAAGATAAAAGCTCAACAAAGAAGAAAAAGAAGCACCTGGCAACTCCTGGACGAAGTGGAAGTTCTTTAGTATCGATAAGCTCCATGAACAAGTCGGTCTTTCGCTTGTGCAGCGATGCTACGAAAGCTTTTCTCTCGGCGGAGTCTTTTGGAGCAGCGTCGGGCCATCCAACTTGATTGAAGTAGTGTGTCATGCTGCCAAGAAACTTGGAAGTATCGAAGTTAACGAACTTTGCCAGTTTAGAACACGAAGAACTTGCAAGACAAACCGTTCTTTGCCGCCTCCAATCTTGAGCAATTCTCCGTAGAGCTCCACGTCCCAGACTGTGTCCAATCCTTTCTGTTTTGGACAAGAATGCGAGGAAGATCCTTGAAACTTGGAGCATTTCCAACTGCAACTTACCTCCTTGAAGGTCTGATTGAAGGAAACTCGATGACCATCCTTCTCTGTGTCAACCAAAACGCCATCGCAATCGAAAAATAGCGCTTTCACTGAAGAATCGCTCGCTGCTGCTGCTCGAGGCTGGACGAAGAACACCCGCGACGATTTAAATCTATTTGCCGCGACGTTTGCTCCCGGGAGCTTCTTTGGAAACCACTGTGAAGTGTAGGAAGTTACAATGGAAGAGGAGGCCATGGCCAGAGTTTAGGGCTTTAGTTTTTGTGATGTTGCAAGGCTTGTCGCCGTGTTTCACCGGTAAGGAGCTCTTGTGTGGTTCCTCTAGAGCTAGCGCTAGAATGACAGTGTTGGTTAATGCAAGCACCAAGGATCCCAGCGAAGACGATGAAGTTACGAATAAGCTCGCGAGCACCAAGAACTTGGATGATCTTACAGTCGTGTCATTCTATAAGTTTGCTGATATTCCCGACTATACAACGAAGAGACAATCTCTAGTGGATGTTTGCGGCAGACTGGTAAGCCTTCAAACGAACAAAAACATAAAAATTCCCAGAGTTTTAGAGAAGATTTTTGAAGTGACTCCTGAGCAGCATGTTTCAGGGGGTATTATTCTCGCTGCCGAGGGCATCAATGGCAGTATCTCTGGCACGAAAAAAGCCGTGGCGGAGGTCTTGGAGAGCATCCAGGCAGACGCTCGCCTCGCGAATCTGAGGATAACTCGAGCACCAGCGTCTTACGATGAAGTTGGCAGTGATGGTGCGTTTCGATGGAATCACGTTCGAGTGAGGCTAAAGAAAGAGGTATGCTTCTCTCTCCTTGTCAAAAGATGTCCTCATTTTCTATCACAACAAAGGTGGTTCCTCTCGGAGTTCCAGGCCTTAATCCTGCAAACAAAGCTGGACAGTACGTGAAGCCGTCGGACTGGAACGAACTTATCAGTGACCCCGAAACGGTAAAAACCTCGCGTCTATTTCTCCTTCCATGCGCTGAGACCTGTTTGTGCTTCCAGGTGGTGATCGACGTGAGAAACTCGTACGAAACTCGCATTGGTAGCTTCAAAGGAGCGCTGGATCCTAAAACAGCCTCTTTTCGAGAGTTCCCCGACTGGGTGGACAAAAACCTCAGCCTCAAGGGCGATCGCCCTTGCAGAATCGCTACGTTTTGCACTGGAGGAATCAGATGCGAAAAAGCAACCGCATTTTTACTCGACCGAGGATTCGACGAGGTAACTTTATACGGAAAAAGCTTGAACGTTTTCCAGCAAGCATCTTTATAGGTTTATCATCTGGAGGGAGGCATTCTCAGATACTTGGAAGAGACACAACCGGCAGAGAGCTTGTGGCAAGGCGAGTGCTTCGTGTTTGATCGTAGAGTTTCGGTGGAGCATAGCTTGGTGCCTGGAACGTATGATCTCTGCTATGCTTGTAAGAAGCCAGTGAACAAGCAAGACATGGAGTCTACGGAATGGGAGGCTGGGGTGTCATGTCCACACTGCTTCCACCACAAGAGCCAGCGAGAAAAAGATAGAGCTCGAGCACGGCAAAGGCAGTTTGACATTCTTAGCTATTAGAATTTAATCATGACTTGACTCACTGATTCCTAAGGAATATTGTTTATTTTGGTTTATAAATTTTTTTTCTGCATATTATTGATCTTTGTGTAATATGTTTTGTGATTTTAAAATTTATTAAATGCAATAGATTAAACATTTAATAGGATTAATATGAGCATAATACATGGTCTTTAGTACCTGATGTCCATATAGCAACATTTGGAAATTTTGAGGTATAAACGATAAAATTACAATCATTTTGAATAGTAAATAAAGTTAAAAATATGCAATTTGGTTGATTTTTACAAAATGTATTGGTGGCCCATAGAGATTTATTATCATAATACATAACTAAATTACCATCAAACTGTAAAGTAAGAAAACAATTATTAACATTTTTTATAGAAGTATTTGATTCCCAAAGAAGTTTATTTGATGAATAAAACATAATATTGCAATTAGACTTTAAAATAAATATATTTTTACCATTTGAAGACACTAAAAAATGATCAACATACATAACTGAACCAGGAAATAAAGTATTACTTCTAAGATGACAAATTAATTGTTTATCTAAAATTGTATTATGATCAGCAAACTCTCTTGATTTTGGACGTATTAATTTATATTGTATGAAATATTTTTGACTTTCTCTTTCAAAAAAATCTGAATTATTGATAAACATAAGTTCTTTACTAGCTTCTAAAAGACTTTCAATTCCACGTTTAATATTAAAACCTGTAACAGAATCTTCATAAAAACATTGATCTTTTGCTTTAATTATTATATCTATATATCCTTGTGATACAGGTATTACAGTCCCATCTCCAAATTTTGATGGATAAAGCTCTTTATTATTAAGTTTAAATAACAAACTGTTAAAAGCAGTAATAATTTTATGTATATCTTGAGGATTTAAAATACCACTAATTCCAAACCGAGGCTGAGATCCTGGAGGAGCATAAATAAAATAAAATAAGTAGTTAATTAAGATAAGTGAAATTAGCTTTCTAATATTAAAAGTATTCATAATAATACTAAGTAAATAAAACAGGGGTTTTTATAATTTAAATAGGCATATCAGTTGAAACATTAGAAATAGGAACAGGATTCTGTTATTAAATAAAGAAGATGTAATTATCTTTAACTTTTAAAAAACTTTAAAAAAAGGCAGGACCTTGGTTATATAAAGGTATAAAGTGAAAAATGGAACTTCGAAAATGAATGCCAATTTGCCTCCCAAGTATAAGAAAAATTCCAAAGTTGCGAATCTCGCATCTCTATTGTAATCTAACATTTAGAACTCCCAAGTTTCTATCCCATGCAAAGGGCAATTCTCGCTTCCATAGAATTGCCTCAACAGCACTTTTGAGAGGAGAATGACCACAGCTTTTGCTGCTTCTTCCCCATCCCGTGACAATGCTAATGGAACCAAATGGACGTCCCGAGCTCTCCAGCCTCGAGAGCCACAGCATCAAAGCCACCTCGGCCACCCCCACAGAGAAACCATGAAGATCCAAAACAATTGCATCCCCTCGGACACTCTCCAGCCTTGGAAGCAAGCCACGATCCCAAGCTATGCCCAGCAACCTTGAAGCTCTCGCGCCAAGCCCACGGAATGACAAAACATCCACCAGCGAGTCGCACAGCACGGCCGGATCCTTGGCTCTCAGTAGCAATCGCTCGACGCCGTTCCAAAGCCTCCCGCCGCCATCTAGATCCATGATCTCGTTCTCTTCGCATGGAGCTTCCAAGAGCTTGGCGACTGTTCCAGAGCTATCACACCGCCGGATACATTCCACCAGCTCCGCCCTCGCTCCGGTCGAATCCGCGGCCTCGAGAGCGGACAGAAAGATCGCCATTGTCTGCTCGTCCGGCCGAAAGATCTCTCCTCCAAACTCGAGCTGGAGCTGGAAGAATCTCGCCGGCAAACGAGCCCTGTGGTGTGGCGAGTTCTTGTACGAGTTTAGCACCGACGTGAGCTCCACCACGCTCGCCTTGAGCCCCGACCTGGACATCTCCGCAAGCTTTTGCTCGGCCTCTTCCACCATGCCCAAGCTCGCGTACCCATCGATCAACGCATTGTAGACGAACTCGTCTGGAGCGCAGCATGCCACTCGCATCCGCAGAAACGTACTCTCCATTCTCCTCACCATCCTTGCCTTTGCGTATCCAGCGACGAGCGCGGTGTAAGTCCGTGAGTCGGGCTCTATGCCATCGTCCTCCATTTCGTCCAGCGTCTGCTCCATCCTCCTGATAGACCCCTTGGCTCCATACGCGTCCAAGACGATGTTGACAGCCTTGACGAGCTCGGCCTTGCTGGGCTTGGATCGCTTGAGCAGGCGCAAAACTTCCTCCATCTTTCTGAAAGAACCACTCGCTCGGTAGCTCTCGAGAAGAGACAAGTAGAACCTCGCGTCCGGCTCGAGCTGGGACGACGAAACACGGCTCAAGATCTCGTCCACGCCGTCACGTCCCTTGGCCGCGCCGAAGCTCTTCACCATCGACGTCCAGGCCGAGACGTCGGGCTTGAAACCCGCGTCTACCATCTCCTTGTAGCATCTCTCCACGCTCTGGAAGTCCTTCCTTCGCCCGTAGATGTCCACCATGAGACCATACGCCTTTGCGTCGAGCTCCTCCGGCTTGAGCAGCAGTTTCTCCAGAGCCATGTCGACCCGAGCGTCGAGCTTCGCTCTCCTGTAAGCGTCGGCCAGGCAGCACCAGGTGATAACGTTCGGTTCCACTCCTGGAAACTCCGCAAGCATGGCTTGTAGAGCGGCTTCCATGTCTGGGATTCGCAGCGCCTTGCCGTAGACGCTGATCATCGCGTTGAAAGTCGACGTGCTCGGCGAGCAGCCTTCGTTGAGCATGCAGCGGAAGAGGCTCTCCATGTTTGCGAGCATGCCAGCTTTGCCGTAGGAGCTGATCACCAAGCCGAAGCTCGTGGAGACGAGACTGGAATCTGTGCGGTGTGTGTGGAGGATTTGAGCCAAGAGGCTCTCTGCCTTGCTCCAGAGATGAGCCCGTGCGAATCCGGAGAGCACACTGTTGTAAGAGGCAACGCTCCCGAGCGGAAAGTTGGCTTTATCCACCATGGTTTCTCTCGTCAACCTTGAAAAGAGCTTGCAAAGAAGCAAAAAAAACTTGTCCTACCTTTCACATTCCTAACCATCCTGCACAGAAGAAATGAATCACGGATCTCCTGACTGCAAAAACCAAAGCAAACTCTTTGAGATTTTCACCTCTCCAGTGGTGATGAGCTTCACGTTTTCCTGAAGAGGGGGGGCTGGAGGAGGATTTGCTCCGTCTCGATTGGGTCGGAGGTCGTCAGCTGTAGGAACAAAGCCGTAAGATTCAAGGAAAAACTAGGCATTGTGAAGGCTTACCGGGTCGCGGAGAGTCGGCTTGCTATCATCCTGGACAATGGTGAATGGAGGCTTACGAGTTCCTTGTGCGTCGGTGGTGGTGGTGCAGCTGCTTGGCGGAGGCGTAGAAATGGCAGTTGCAGTTTTCTGCGCCTTGCTGCTGTACTCCGCCATCGCCACAGCCCCAAAGAATATACTATTTTCCCAATGTTTTGTGGCATTATCTGTATAATAAATTTTAATAACTTATGATGCTTAATAATTACAAAATAAAACATAATTACCTATCATTATTATTATAGTGTTTTAAATTAGTTTCTAGCAATGCAGTCTGCCATTTTTCTTTGAAAAAACAATTATCTAGAAATTGTTATAATGTGATAAATTATTTTTAAAAATACCTATTGGTAATTGTAAATAGTTTGCTGCAATTTGGTTTTCTTTAATATGTAATCAACATTTATTATAAAATATCAATATAACCTTTATAAATAAATATGGTTATAAATCATTCTATTAAAAAAAGAAAAAACTAAATTTCTAGCTTTATGTATTTGAATTAAGTTGTGAGAATAACATTGCATATAAGTGTTGTGATCTTTCATTTAATCCAACTCCTGTTCAAGCTATATTCGTCTATAAGAGTTGCATCAAGTGTAATGTCCTCTCATGCAATGCTAACTCAAGTATATGAAGCTAAAATTTAGTTTTTTCTTTTTATTTTATAAAGATAAACATGTAAACCATAAAATTATCTAAAGCACCCATGTGAATAAGGATTTTAACAAAGTTTATTTTCAATCTTCTTTCAAAGGGCTAATAAATATTGCGAATGACTCTCTACTAAAGTTGCTCGTATAATGAATAATATTGAGCTATGGACAAGATTATATACCTTAATTTTTACTTCATTTGACTTAATAGTTATATTGACTTTGGCTTTCTTCGGGTAGAGACATTCTCTCAAGAAGTGTCTTTTTTCTCTACAATTGTAATATATATTATTCCCCATATTATTAGTAAATTTGGTTTTTTTATTAGTGGGTTTATCCTTTTTCATTTGACTCTCCAACATACTTGCTCTCTAGCCATTGGATTTGCCTTTCTAAAACTTTAAGGATTTATTCTCAGAGAAACTCTTCTTGAATTTCTTTTTTTTATATATCCCTCTTGGTTTGATTCCTTTGCTAAATGTGAATTTAAACCTGTTATGTTCCTTTTTTGCAAGTTATCATTGAAATGCATCTTGATAGTTACATCTAATGGTTCTTTGTAGTTGGTTGGGTTCTAACACATCATCTCACTCCAAGTCTAATATGAGCTTGCAAGCTTGATATAAAGGCATAGAATGAATTCCCATATCCGTAATAGGGATTTTCTTGGCCATAAACATATTCACATACTTTTGAATTATTCATGTCTACTTCAGCCTACTTAACTCATCCCTTAGGTGTAGAGTAACATACAAAGGAATATAAGTTGTATGTATCCTTATTTTCATCACTTCCTAAATGGGTACTAGTCCTTTGTTAGCCTTTGTCATTTTTCACCAAAACTTAATATTATTTGCTAAATATAATTTTGCACATAAAATCTTTTTCATGTTTGGTAACTGTAGTGCTCAAAAGTAATCCTCCATATTGTAAAACTAATCCTCCACCACCTTATAGTCATTCATACCCTTGAAGTGGGGGCTTTGGTTTTTACTTGGGAATTGCTTAGGGGATTGATTTTATTTTAATTTGTTCAATCCTACCTCAAAGAGTCCACACTTTCTGTGTTACTAGCATTTGTAGTCTATTATTTTTTCTTCTACTTCTTTCACAACTCAACTTTAGTTTATTTGGTCTTGCCTTAAAAGGTCCACATTTTATATGTTGCCAACATTTGTAGTGTTTTGTTTTTTCTTTCGCTTCTCTTGCCATTAAACTTCTATTTGGAAGTTTCTTCATAGGCTTTATCTCTAAAGGAAGTTTATCTTTACCTTAGTTCGCTAAAACTAGCCATCTCCTAATGGGCTATCAACAATGCACCTTTATCATTCACTAAAATTGAGAAAGAGGCTTTGATACTAAATATAAGTTGACTTTCCAAGAGGTCATCCAACATAGTATTATTCAAATTCAAGAACATTTAACATTAAATAAACCTAAAACCCTTAACCGATTAGAAAAAAGGGTGCACTTTTGTTCATAGGCCCTTGTATATTTAGTAAGTTTAGTTTGCTCAAGCTTGGCTCAACCCGAGAAGTAAGGTGTCAAGAGAGTGGGGGTCTTGGGAGAGTTGCAACTCTTAACTTCTGTTTATGAGAGCATGAACTTGCAAGGAAGTATAGTGGATCATAAGTAACTAAAGGAATTAAAAGATGATTCATGAGGTTTGAATATAAAGGGAAAGGGCTCATGAATAAGAATGCATCCACTTTTCCAATTGGTTAAGAGTTTTGAAGGAACTCTCAAATGGTGCTTTTAAAGCAATTGTAATGCAACACTTCTTCATAAGGGCTTGGGTCTTCCCTTTGGGATAGACCATTATGCCATGGTGTTTTCCCTTGAAGTCCTATGGTATTTTCCCCTGAGGTCCTAAAGTAAAATATGTAAAGATTTAGAGGGTCCTATAATCAAGTTTTATTTTACCAAAGGATGTTAAGAATTTGGAAGTTTAGTGTGCTTGACTGTTAATGATGAGTGTAACTAAACTTTAGGTCTAATTTAACCCAAAGAGGGGGATTGGAAGAGAATTTAGGAATCTGTAGATGAAGGGTTAACACCCTACTGCTCATACAATGAGTAGTTAAACTTAAGTAAGTCCAAGTAAGAGTTGATATAATATGTGGGAACTTTGGTAAGGGAGCTTAACTAAGGCTAAGACAAGGGTGGTCAGATGGATAAAGTAAGTGTAAACTCTTGAGTTTAGACTTCTCAGGAGGTCATCCAGCCCAGTACTATTCAAACCCAAACACACTTAACCCCAAATATCCCAAGACCCTTAACCGATTGAAAAAGGGGGTGCACTCTTATTCGTGGGCCCTTTCCCTTTATATTTGAACCCCATAGACCGTCTCTTAAGTCGTTCTCTTTGGTTGCTTACAGTAAGTTGGCAAATTGGAAAAGACAAATCTATGGCTTACAAAACACTACTCACTAGATTGCTAGCTATAATATAAGACTAATTATAAATAACTTTATATTTATACTACAGTTGAAATAATATTAGACAATTTGAAAATATATATAAAGAATTCAACCTTGGATGAAGTTCTCATTAATGGGTAAATTGGCATTCTTGATAAGGCCAAGTTGTGGAGGCAATCTCAAATGTCAGCATCACCAAATATGTAAATACTAATATTGATTCATCATCAATCTTAATAAAATAGTGTATAATTTATGGAAGAATAAAATCCATAATACTTTTAATAGAAATGTAAAAACTCCCTATAATCATAGTTTATAAAGAAAGAATGTTAGATCAAATAGAAATGTAAACCACTTTTCTAAGTATCTCAAAAGAGCTTGATTTAAAATACAAAGATATGTCAATGTAGAAAAGGTTGAGAGATTTTGGCTCTAAAGCCATTTGTGACAAACATATTGTCTCTAATGGAATAAAACACACTTTTGAAGATAATTGTTTAAAAGTTGGAAATTATGCATGGAATTGTTAGAGTTGCCATCTTTGTCATTAAATCTTTAAACACTAAATAAGCCCTAAAAAAAGTTTCCACCCTATGACAATAATGTTATGGATTGCAATAAGAATCTCATATGGCTCTCTGACTGCTATTTGATTTGTTTATAAGAAATCGGTCTTGGGTTACTGTTCAGCCAAGAAAAAGACTGTGAGAGGCAACCACATTATATATATATATTATGACATAAATTTTTTGATGTTAAAAGCTCAGAAAATTGATTGACTAATGAAACATCACTTGTATTTGGATTACTTAAGTTTTTTTACTAGCTTGAAAAAGAAAAACAACACTAACAATGTGAGTTTTTTAAGAAACTTGGCTTATCACTCTACTTTTGATACCCACGACATCACACATAAAATATTTCTTAACAATAGGCTTAAATTTATAGCACCAAATAATAAAATATGGTGCATGGCATTTTATAATATTAATTATTTCACCATTTCTTGTTTTGTATCAGCCAAATAAAAGGAATCAAATTTACAAGTTTGATATATACTCAAGTGGAGATGACTTTAGACTAAAAGATTCCTTATTTATAAGGCTAAAAACTCAATTTATCATCCATGCTTCAACTAACCATCAACTATAGTATAGGTGTAAAATAGATATATGAAATCTATCAAAATAACCATACCTTTTTCTTTAGATTTATGCAATACTAAAAAGTTTAGCTTGAGTTAGCAAATGTATGAATTTCTAAACTTCTGTACTGAAAAGCTTATACTAGTCAAATTCTTATGCCACATAGATCCTAATATATAAAGGATAGTGCTTGTGGATAACTATCATAAGTTCATCAATACTCTTGACATAGTCTTCAAGACATTGACAACAATCCATCATGACACCCAAGGGTTTTAGACATAAAAGTGTAAGTTTTTTTCCATATTTTCCATTATTCACTATTTTAGAGCTAGAGTCGGCACAGCAAACTATAATTTAGGTAACATCACATCTTTGACACTTTAATAACAATGTTCACCAAATTGTGATGTTCAGGTATGTTGCATGACAAAGTTACACATAGATTTAAATGTGTTGTGGTGACAATTGCCATAGTCATTTGTTGTCTAATCTCATTAGCATTTAATGTCATCAACCTCCTCCTTTGTGACTGTCCTTATAGTTGTAATGATCAATTTATGATGGTTTTTAAGTTCCTCTATTAGTGTAACTTTTTTCCACACTAGGGTGTGTGTTATAATAAAATAATTGAGCAGTAAAGATCATAATGCCAATGCCTGGTTAGAAAAGTATTTTATTTCTTCATTTTGATGTTATAATTTATTTAATAGTATATAGAAAACAACATAGAATTTTTATAATTGTTTATTTTAAATAAATTAAATAAATAAATAAATTATCACTCTAACAAGAGGTATTATAAAAATAAACACCATCTACCTCCTAGAAATTTTACTTTACCTATTAATTGTTTTTATTTCCATTTTAAAATGTTTATAGATATTTTTATTACCATGTCTGAGTAATTAGTGAACTTTAGTAAT